TGTTAAAGACACTTTTGGGTTTTTAACTGCTTCATTAGATAAGTTAGTTTCAATGAGTAAGTATGATAATACAGATGAAGAAGATAAAAGTAAATGGTTATTGCGTGAAAACTGGAAAGATAATTTTAGGTTCAGTAGTAAGAATGATGTGATTAAGAGTGAGAAATGTCTAGATTTGTTGACTGATAAAGGTGTTTATCCTTATGACTACATGAATTCATTTGATAAATCTGATGATGAGCAATTACCGAGTAAGGATGATTTTTATAGTCAGTTGAGTGAAGAAGGTATAAGTGTTAACGACTATGAAAGGGCAAAATTATATGGAAGCATTTCGACATTAAGAATATGGGTGAATACCATGATTTAAATTGAAAACTGATGTATTATTATTGACTGACATTTTCGAAAATTTTAGAGATGTGTGTATGAAATATTATGGATTGGACCCTGCTTATTATTATACATTGCCTAACTTTGCTTTTGATGCTATGCTTAAAATGACTGGTGTAGAGATTGATTTAATATATGACCAAGAAATGTATGAAATGATAGAAGCGGGACTTAGAGGAGGGATGTGTATGGTGTCTACTAAAAAAGTTGAAGCAAATAATAAATACATGGGAGAAGAATATGATAAAAATAAAGAAAGTAGAGAAAGTAGTTATATTAACTATTTTGATGCTAATAATTTGTACGGGTTAAGCATGATACAAAAACTGCAATATAAAAATCTAAAATGGGATGATACATTAAAAGAAGAAGACATTATTAATTACCAAAATGGTAATATTGGATATATTCTAGAAGTGGATTTAGAATATCCTAAAGAATTACACGATTTACACAATGACTATCCAATGGCACCTGAGGTTATGAATGTTAAAGCCAACATGCTGTCAGATAAACAAATTGAAATTTATGAATTTTTAAATCATAAAAAACCTACGGATGAGAAAACAAATAAATTAGTATTGAATTTAAATGATAAAGAAAAATATGTAATCCATATAAGAACCTTACAATTTTATTTGAAGCAAGGGTTAAAACTTAAGAAAATTCATAGAGCAATTAAATTTGAACAAAAAGAAGTTTTAAAACCTTACATTGAGTTTAACACTGAGAAGAGGAAGAATGCTAGAAATGATTTTGAGAAAGATGTTTACAAATTGATGAACAATGCCATATTTGGAAAAACAATGGAGGATAAGCGAAAACATTTAGACTTTGAAGTTGTGAGTGATGAAACTAGATATATGAAGTGTGTAAGTAATCCTAACTTCAAACATAGTCATATCATTAATGAAAATTTGGTTGGAGTTGAAAAGCAAAAAACAAAGTTGAAACTAGACAAACCTATATGTATTGGGATGAGTATTTTAGATTTGAGTAAGCAACACATGTATACATTTTATTATGACGTTATGAAGCCTAAATATGGAGATAATATTAAAATGGTACATACTGATACTGACAGTTTTGTATTTCATACTAAAACCAATGACATTTATGAAGACCTGAATACAATTAAAAAAGAAATAGAGTTTTCAGATTATCCTAAGGAACATAAATGTTATGATGAGAATAACAAGAAAGTATTAGGTAAATTTAAGGATGAATTAAAAAGTAAAATAATAACAGGGTTTATAGCTCTTCGTCCTAAATGCTATGCTTACTCAGTTTATGGTGATGATAAAAAATATAAGAAATGTAAGGGCATAGCAAAAGGCACAGTAAGACGTCAAATGAAATATGAAGAGTTTGAGACGGTTTTAAAAACTAATGAGGTTATACATAAGTCATTTAATAGTATTAGAAGTAAAAACCACAGAATTTTTAGTATAACAACTAAAAAAATTGCTCTTAGTAGTTATGAAAACAAAAAATATTGGATAGATAGTATAAACTCACTTGCTTACGGCCATTATAAAATAAATTCTTTGAAAACGACTTAAAGAAATATTGACTTAATATATTAAGATAGAAATGAGTGATACAGAAAGTGAATATAGTGAATATAGTGATATAGAAAGTGTGTATAGTGAATTTAGTGATACTGTCCATGAAGATATTGATGTTAAAAATATATTGAAACAAAAGTTTTTTAATTACAAATGTAAAGACTGTGAGATGTTAAAGTTAACAATTCAACAGGGTTTTATAGATGGTGTTAGAAATAATATTTGTCAATGTATGATATGCAATAATTGCAATATAATTATAAACAAAATTGATTATATGAATAACGCAGATTTTGATACTAGAAATGCTGAAACTCTTGATGATGATTTAGAAATATTTGTTTTTATTGAAATGAATAGGTTCTATACTGAAAAAGAATATGATAATGTATTGGATTATGGATATGTGGATGGTTTTATTTATAAGTATTATAGAATGGTAAAAAGATTATACAATATGTCTTTTAGCATTAAACTTTTAAAATACGAAGCATTGAATGATAATGGCTTTGATTTTTTAAATGAGTTTATAAGTTATAAGTATAAAGCTCTTGAACTTAGATATACGGCAAGACTTGCAATTAGTGTATTGAAGGCGTTTGTAAAAGAAATAGGAAAATATTTATAATCGAAAAACAGCTGATAAAATAGTGAAACGAATTGAAAGAGAATTTTAAAATTAATTAGAAATAGAGTTGAACTCATACTATAATAATAACATGTAAAATATTATATGTTATAATTGTAATATATTTATCGTTTGTACAAGATTGATTTTTTTGTGCTTTTGAGTATGTCCTAAAACTGTATAAAGACTTAGAACTATACATTAATAAGAATAATGGAAAACCAAAGTGAAAGGCAGTGCTCCAAGTGTTGTAGAATATTAGGAGTTGAAGAGTTTGAAGGTGAAAACAAAAACTGTAATATTAAGAGATGCTTATGGCCACAGGCTTGGGGTGGGGAAAGCAATTAATTTTTCATTTTATTTTCATTTGGGTTTTCATTTTTTTTTCATTTGTGTTTTCATGTTATTTTCATTTTGCTGGTTTTCCTGCATTTCGGGACCCTGGAAAGCAAAAATGAAAAAACTCGAGGAACTTTTCATTTTATTTTCATTTCTGTTTTCATTTTATTTTCATTTTGCTGGTTTTCCTGCATTTCGGGACCCTGGAAAGCAAAAATGAAAAAAACTCGAGGAAATTTTCATTATATTTTCATTTCTGTTTTCAATTTAATTTCATTTTGCTGGTTTTTCTGCATTTCGGGACCCTGGAAAGCAAAAATGAAAAAACTCGAGGAAATTTTCATTTTATTTTCATTTGTGTGTTCATTTCATTGTCTTCTTGCTGGTTTTTCTGCATTTCGGGACCCTGGAAAGCAAAAATGAAAAAACTCGAGGAAATTTTCATTTTATTTTCATTTGTGTTTTCATTTCATTGTCTTTTTGATGGTTTTCCTGCATTTCGGGACCCTGGAGAGCAAACATGAAAAAAACTCGAGGACATTTTCATTTTATTTTCATTTCTGTTTTCATTTCATTGTCTTTTTGCTGGTTTTCCTGCATTTCGGGACCCTGGAAAGCAAAAATGAAAAAAAAACTCGAGGAAATTTTCATTTTATTTTCATTTTGCTGGTTTTCCTGCATTTCGGGACCCTGGAGAGCAAAAATGAAAATAACTCGAGGAAATGTTCATTTTATTTTCATTTGTGTGTTCATTTCATTTTCATTTTGCTGGTTTTCCTGCATTTCGGGACCCTGGAAAGCAAAAATGAAAAAAACTCGAGGAAATTTTCATTTTATTTTCATTTGTGTGTTCATTTCATTGTCTTTTTGCTGGTTTTCCTGCATTTCGGGACCCTGGAAAGCAAAAATGCAAAAAACTCGAGTAAATTTTCATGTTATTTTCATTTTGCTGGTTTTCCTGCATTTTGGGACCCTGGAAAGCAAAAATGAAAAAAAACTCGAGGAAATTTTCATTTTATTTTCATTTGTGTGTTCATTTCATTGTCTTCTTGCTGGTTTTCCTGCATTTCGGGACCCTGGAAAGCAAAAATGAAAAAAAACTCGGAAATTTTCATTTTATTTTCATTTGTGTTTTCATGTTATTTTCATTTTGCTGGTTTTCCTGCATTTCGGGACCCTGAAAAGCAAAAATGAAAAAAACTCGAGGAAATGTTCATGTTATTTTCATTTTGCTGGTTTTGGAACTCACTCTGGACAGCACAACATGTCTTCGACACATGAGACATATGAATCCCCAAATGAAAATAAAACGAAAACACAAATGAAAATAAAATGAAAACACAAATGAAAATAAAATGAAAACACAAATGAAAATAAAATGAAAAAATATTTATTTTGGTGTTTAAAGGCTCTCCCCAGCTGGGAGTCTCTTAACTGTAATAGATGTTGAGAACACAGAAGAACATGTTATGAAAAGCATAAGGAAGAATATAGGGCAGAAGCGAATAGAAGGTGGAAGGAAGATGAAGAGTATAGAGAAAAGAAAATGGAAAGGAATACACAGTGGAACAATAAGTTGTATTTTTGTAGTGAGTGTGATTTGTCTATGTATTTGAGAAATAAAGCAAGGCATGAGAAAACAAGTAAGCATCAAAGAAATGTAGTTGTAAAGCTGAATAATGAAATGTGAAAGGTGGAACTATTAGGTGAAATGTGTTTTAGTCATATTTTTAAGTCTGAGTGAAAAATTCGTGAACAATGAATAAGGTAAAAAGAAAAAATGAAGAACAACTGGAGTTTCTGAGAATTGGAAAAAGACTTAAAATACAAAATGACTAAGGGTAAACAAATAGTAAAATGAAATAGGTTAAGTAGTGAAAAAATAATGGATAAGGTGTGTATCTTTTCTAGGAATTACTTAGAATGAATAAGGTTGTGATTTATTAACCTTATCTATTATTTGATACTTGGTTTTTCAATGTGTGTTTTCATTGCTTGTTAGAAAAAAATAGTAAAATGATTTTCAGTTCCTTCAAATCCCCTTTTACTATTTTTTCCCCCCCCCGTGCAAGGACAAGATCTCCCCCACCTCCGTGGACGCCTTTGACCTGTCGGAGCTGGAGCTCGAGAAGGAGCCCCAGGCGCTGGCCCGCCACAACCACAGCTACCCCCAGGCGGGGGCTGGGAGCGCTTTCGTCCCAGACACCGGCGTGCATGTGTTTTTCTTCTTCGTGGGTCTACCCCAGGAGGTTAAAAGGGGAGGAACAGTGTAGAATAGAAAGGACCAACAGGGGGAAGAGCCATTGAAATCTTTAAAGAGCTCATCCAAACCGTTTCTGGATTCGGAAAATTTGCATGGCATGTCTTGAGTTAGGGTTCTAAAGGGAGAGCAAAAGGAAGATTCATCGGGCTCTAAAATGGGACATGCGCCCATGAACAAACGTGTTCCTATTACCCGGTAGGTTCGGGCCCAGGATGTTGCTTTTTGTATTCAGGAAGTACCAGCCCTTGATTTTTGAACAGCCTGGATTGATCAACCGAGCTAGGAACTTCACGATGCTTTTCGATCATGCTCAGAAATTTGCTGGGTCCCTATGAACCTTGCCAAAATGCTGGCTGGGTGATTTCGAAAAATGTCCCATTCGGATGCACTCGCATGTGCTTAAGCCAGACGCCAGGAAGTGTTGGCGGGAAAGGCACGCCTAAGTAGGTGTTCCCTAGCTAGGGGGCATTGGAGTATCTTGACTGCTGGTCTGAAAAGGCAACAAGTCAACAAGGGTAATGCGGCCAAAACAGCTTCCCTGTTGGTGAATGCCTTTGCTGGATGTGTTGTGACAACGCTGAGGAGAAAGCGGCCGGTTTCCATTTTGAAAGCGCCCATTGTCCAGTTTTTTTTTTTTGGACCCTCCAAAATGGTGGGTTTTCCTTTTGGTTTCCCTTTAGGCCCCTCCTCAAAAACAGGCACCCTCAATGTCGTCAAGGGAAGTTTTTGCCAATGACCCTGCAAGGGTACCGCCAACAAGGAGACACGTCCATCTCCCCGCTCAGGTCACCTTGCCGGCGCTTTGCATGGCGCCAGCAGGGCCCGGGGGTACTATGCCGAGGGAAGATCCCTGGAAGGACGGCCTTCGGCGTTTTGTGGGGGATGGCGTCCTAGTTTGTACCTTTTGGGGTGCGGCTGAAAAAGACGGGGCTTTGGTGGCAACGGTCTTTCCACTTCCGTGTTTGTTCTCTCTCCTTTTTGTGAGGGGGCCGTGGTGTTGATGTCCTCTTGTTCTTTTGTTGGTTTCCGTTTTGTTTCTGTGTTGTTTTACGCTATCATGCCAAGGAGAGGTGTTGCTTGTTGAGAGGCCTGTCAACTCACCTGAAAGAACTGTCGAGTATACCGGGTTCTTATGGTTTGCAGGCCATTGTTTTGCAGCCGGGCAGGGTATGCCCCATGCCCGAGGTCCTTTCAATATACCCACCATGATCAGACTTTTGACGTATAAGGCTAACCTAACCATGCCACCCCTCTTTGCAACCCTGGAGGTTAATTCAAAGGCACATCTTCCAATGATGACTGACCAGCCCTCTTGGAAGACCCTGGCAGGAGGATTTTGAGAAAAGGCCGCCCCGAGCCATGTGTTTTGGTTTTTGGCCTGGCCCCGCCTCTACATGGGGCAGTGGTATCGTGGATGATCCCCTTTTGTTGGACTGTTTTTGCTACCCGATGCGACTTTGAAAGGGGACGCCAGGCCCGCAGGGCGAGCTTTTAAGTGGAGCACCGATGAACCCCAGTCCAGGTGGAACCTTGGAAATTGCAAGATCTCCCTTGTCGTTGTGAACCAAAAGAACAACGCAGAAAGACACCGCCAGAGATGTTTGTGTGGTTTTTTCCTAGGCTCCAGCCCAGGCACGCCGCATATGTTTGACTCCACCCCCTCCCCTCCCCTCCCCTCCCCTCCCCTCCCCCTCCCCCTCCCTCCCCTCCCTCCCCTCCCCTCCCCTCCCCTCCCTCCCTCCCCCCTCCCCTCCCTCCCTCCCCTCCGTTTGTTTGCCAGGATTGCAGGGGCCAGGAGAAGGAGCTCTTCCTCCACAACGGGCCCCCGCCTTTGTGGCTCGAGGAGCCGGGCTTCTACCTGGGCATCGGGCACCTGGTGCGCGGGAAACGGGAGATGCGGCCCTTCCACTACACCCTGCGCCCGGGCCGAGTTTTCGCGCGTTTCGCTTCCCATTCTCGCCTTCAACGGATGAATCCTAGCCCGGATAAGGTGCTTTTTCCTGTTTTTGTTCTCCTCTTTTTTTCCGGCCTCCTCCTCCCCCGCCACCACCCTCCAGCTTTTTGGGGAGTTGGAAGGGAAAATCATGGTTTTCGGGCAGAGAGGAATCCGAATGACTGGTTTGTTGGGATGGGTTTTGAAGGGCAAAAGGAAACCGAGCAGTTTGGGACGTTTTTGTGCTGGAATGTTGGCACAGCATTCCCTCCCTTTTCGCCTTTCTGCTGCGGGGTTCGCAGAAACATGTGAACCCCCGAAAGGCGGGCCGAGGTTCTTTGGGGACCTTTCTCTTAGGCTCCCAGAAATGGGTGGTTTGGAAGGTGAGCAAAACCAAGTTCAATCCCCTGCAATCAGCATGGAACCGCATGATTTTTCGAAAACGGACAATCCTCCAGGCTCCAAACGGTGGGGTTTGCACGCGTCCGCTTTTCAAATGCGCAAGCAAACTTTGAAAGATATCACTAAGATGGTAGTTGTGACTTAGATCCGCTGTGTCTCAAGGTTTCGGCAACTAATTGCAAGAGAAGCCTCAGAACCCTTGGTGCACCATGGAGGGTGTCATGTCTCGCACAGTGAGCTCCATGATTGGTTCGGGGTTTCCACTGTGACCAAGGCCTGACCACTACACGCATCAGTTCTTCGCCCTGTCCGCCACGCGGCCTTTCCGGCTGTTGGCGCTGTCGCCCGAGTTCTGCTTCAGCAGCGAGCAAGATGCAGAGGTGTGTTGGCGTAGGGTTATGGAACAAAGCCCAGTTGAAGCGATGGTGCAGTGCTTTTTTGATTGACCCAAATGCACTCGATTCAGGGGCCACAAGCTGTCCGACAGGACTGCGAGAACATCCAGTTCGCGTCCTCCCTGCTGCGGGAGGGAAACGACAGCCTGCTGGTGGGCTACGGGGTGCAGGACAGGTGGCTGCCAACTGGCTAATACTATCCCCTGGCTCAATTTGGTTTTTCTTTCGTTGTTGTTTTTTGCGGGGAGGGGGAAGGGGGGGGGCTTGACGGTTTTGGAGGCTTGGCTGAAATTAAACGGGTCCCAAGGCTGGCTCCTGCCACCCCCGAGGTCGGGTTTTCGGCCGGAGGGCACCTTTCGAAAACAAACCACCCCACCCCGTCCCGTTCAAACTCGGGGACAGGATGCCAAAAGGATGTTGCCCAAAAAGAGACAGCTTGTTACAAGTTTAGCCACCCCAGGTGCGATGTGCGATGCCGAGGGGGTAGCCCTTGCAGGTCGAAAGTGCCGCTCCAGAGTATATGTATCATCTAGATATCGCAGCTGTTTGTAAAGGACAGAGCAGAGGCTGTTCGTCGCGCATCATTTCAAACACCTCCATTTGTCCGCCGAATGTTGCTTCAGCAGTTGCCCCGTTAAGTAGTTCCAGCCAAAGCGAAGCTCCCAGGACTGCGACGCTTTTCTGCAGCGCCTCTCGCTGCATGAGGTGCTGGCCTCGCTGGTTGCGCTTGAGTAGCCAAAAGCGGCGGGTTCCTACCGCGCGTGGGGCACGGGCCGGAGAGGTTTGGGCCACCCAAAGCCCGGAATGCTCACAGGTCGATATACATATGTTTGTTATCTACATGTTGCTGGTGTTACGTGGGTCCTTCTCCGGCGGGCTGGTGGTGTGGGGGCCAAATAGCTCGGCACATGTGTTTCTGGCTGGTTTAATTTCAGTCACACAATCTTTCGACACGTGGTTGATGTTGCAACAAGTTGTCCTTAAACATCAGCTTGGAAGGTTGAGTGTTGGGCTTTTTCAGACGACTTCGACGTTGTACCTACGGAGAAGTTTGGATGCCCCAACTGTGCATTTCACTCTTTCGGCACTCTTTTGAATCAACTCCTAGATTCTTTTCGCGGGATTGCAGCAACCATGGTGCTTTTCGTCGCGCCAATTGGTGCAAGCCGAGTTTCCGCGGCGCAACTGGGAGGCTCTTAGGCAAGATGTCGGATTTGCACTTGGGCCACTCCAAGGAGCTCATGGAACACCGAAACTTTCACTTCGAGCACCGAGCGGGTGACGCCCACAGCGCAGACGAAAGTAGATGTAGGACGAAGGAACGGAGCAAAATGAGACCAGGTCCGCGACGGAGTGCGACGCAAACGTACTGTTTGCACGGGCAGCAGCACAGCAAGCGGCACGTTCCCCCCAGATGGTGTAGATCCGCGATGGCGGCCGGCGCGCAGGCATGGTGGCAGGGGGAGGGTGGGCCTAAACCTCCAAGTTGGACTCGAGACTGGGCATGCGAGAAGGGCAGAGCTGCCCAATGGAGTAACCAGGCGCTGGTGTGGCAACACAAAGTGCTTGGCGAATTTGCCAACGATGTACAAAGACGGCTGCCTGAGGGGCAGTCGGACTCTTGAACTTGCAACGGGCGCCCTGTCCTAGCAAACAAGCGATCATACAACAGGCATACATGTGGATCTTGCTACATGTACTTGAAGGTTTCCGAGCATTTACGTGCGTTCTCGCATCTTTTGCACCTTAGGGATGGTTTGTGCCTTGCTCTTCAGCTCTGCACATGGTTGTGATTGCATTGCAAGCATGTTTCCTTTAGCTTTGTGACCCGGCGCTTTGGCGCCCCGAAGTCTGCCACCAGCCACCCTTGTGGCACAGGCTGTGTGCAGAAACAAGAATACACACACACACACACATGTATATAGAATATACATGTTTGATGCATGTCTGAACATGACTAGTGGCTTACCAAGCTAGCCATAAATAGCGATGTTTAGTTGATTGTAGCAGATTTTTTTCTCATTGCTCTCTCTCTCTCTCTCTCCCTCTTTTTTTGTCTTTCTCTCTCTCTCTCTCTATCTCTCTCTCTCTCTCTCTCTCTCTCTCTCTCTCTCTCTCTCTCTCTCTGCCTCCATCTTTTTTTAATGTCGCCCACATGAAGCCGTATATAAGTTTGAATGTATGTATGCATCTTCATCTCCAGAGATACAGGTATAGACATTATATATATATATATAGATCTGGGTGTGTGGGTGTATCTACGTATACACGATGTATAGCTGGTGTACTACGACTGGTCATAGCTGGTGATGGCACCGTGTCGTCACTGCCTCAGCAGGCGAGCCGGATCGACCCGAAGGTGCTTGCCGCCCTAGCGCGGGGCTCAATCAGTGCTGCGGTGGCTGGTCTCCCGTCTCAGGTGTGGCTCAAAGAAGGGGGTCCCCGTAACAGAACACCACCACCGGGACCCCAAGCTGTCAAATGGCACCCAAGAGGTCACTGTACAACGTACCATTTGATAGCTGCATGTTGGGGGTGTGATGGTTTTGACAACCTGTAGTTCTTGGGCTCTGCCATGGGGTCAAAAAGTGGTTTTTGCTCTGAGAGAGACAGCCGAGTACTTCAGGGCATTTTTGTTTGAACGCAGAAGCCCCAGCGGCCCTTCTCGAGGGTCTGAGAAAGGACCAGCTCCTCTTTGAGCCACACCAAACGGTAAGGTGGTTGCAGAAACTAGCGGGATTCAAACCTTCATTGGAAGGACCTCCAAACTACTTTGGCCCAAACCTCCAACGACGAAAGGTGACCCGCTTCAGCAGCGAATCCGCGGACTTCCTGCAAGCCTTTGCCGGTCAAGCGGAGGCGGTGTGGGGTGGTGGGATGGGGTGGGGTGGTGATGTCGCCCAAGCAACGGGAGGCGGTGGGGGGTCTCGGGATGGCAGGGCGCGCTTGAGCCAATGCGGGCTACGGTCAGGCGAAATTGCTACAGCTCTCTCAGAGGCTGGAGCGGCTGGAGAGGCGGGCGAGCGTGGCGGAAGGGCTCGTGACACACAAACCTCAGAGGCTGCAAGACAAAGCGGTGGTTCATCACCGCAATGTGATCGAATGATTTCTGTCTGTTTCCTGGGGAGCCTTGTAGGTGTGGTACGCTTTTGCTTCGTGCTGTGGAGGGCCTTTCAGAAAACCCGGTGATTCAACTGGCCCGAAGAATTAGGTCAGGAGAGCCATGGTTGTGGTACCGATGCATGGGTGATCTTGGATAGCGCTTGGTAACAATTCGATGCGAAGACAAGTCCAGCTGTTTTGTGTTGATGTTTACTTCTTAGAAGTCATTTTGCTCACAGAGGAACAAAGACGTAGCCCAACCAAGCTTAAGGCTGAAGCCATCACGCGGGCATGGGCACTTCTCGGGTTTCAGTACACTGTTTTCGGAAGGCAGGCCTTTGGAACAAGGTCCTGCCCACAATTCCTTTCTAATGGCAGGTGAGTGATTTCTTTGGTAGCTATTGCATGACAGGTTCTTTATTTCCAAAGACCCTCCCTAAACAAACGCGGAAAAAACCGAGTAGGGAAACAAACGTAGGGAAACGAACAACCACGAAAAAAACAAACAGAAACAACCCACCGTTACTTGTGACAGCCCCAAGAACCGATGAGCATAATTCATCAGATGCAGCGGCGCTGGCCTTGCGATGCGACATCGCAGCTCAAGCGGAGAGCGACGCCGCCCCAGACGGGGTTCAAAGAAGCCAGCCCAGCTGTACCACTTTCACATTCCGTTCTCCTTCTTTTTTCACTCTTTCATGCCGGCGGATATGTGGGAAGAATTGACAACATCAAGTAGCTCCACTTGCAACAGGTTGCTTTCCCAGGCAGCTTTCCCCAAAAGCTACCGGTGTTTGCGCGCCCCCCCCCCCCACCCCCAGCACCACAGCCCAGTGGAGTTAAGTTACACTTGGAGCACCTCGATGGTCGGGCGCATGGCGTGCCATGTCGCTGGCGCCGGTCCCGGCGCCTCGCGTGGGTTGGGGTTGGGGGGTTGTTTCGGGGGGGGTTGCTTCTCGTGGTGGCATTTAGGGGGTGCGGGTTCTGGAGATCATTTTGGCGTGGATTAGGGTTGGAAAAGTGGTCACTCTTAGATTTCTTTTGATCCTGAGAGCTGCGCCTTGAAGTTGTCCCGTTCTCCAGCGCGTCAAACTTTGATGGCAAGATCCAGGGACGCTCAGGCTTGCTCGTATTGGAGAGCCGGGCAGTGTTGGTCTTGGTTGACTTTCAGTTGTCAGAGCATTTGGACAAGTGACGACCCTCACGCTGTTGTCATATACCCCAGTACATGCGTATACACACCTCTGTGTGTATATGTAGATATCCGTGTATACTTGTACTCGGGCCATTTGGAGTACACCCATACAAGCACATTGGCTGCTCTAATTGGCCTTGGCAGGCTCCAAGGGGGAAGGCGCGAGAATGGCCACCTGCGCCCGAGGCGGAAGACGAGAGCTTCCCCTTTCGGCTCACGATCTGCCGGCCCAGCACCTTGCTCTTGGCAGAACCGGGAACATCCACGGGGCGTGGGTACCAAAGCATAGGTGTCCTTTTTGGTGGTTTTGGTGGAGAAGTAGATGGCCCTGGTTTATTTGGTTTAATTTTAATCATCTACCAGGGCCATCTATTTCCCCTAAAAGGACACCTATGTACCGAAGAGTTGCCCACGGGCAGGTTTCTTTTCATGGTTGTGCTGATCGGGGTCCCAGCGGGTTTGGAAGAAGAGTTCTACAATTGCAAATGTGCAGGCTGCTGTGTGTTGGTTTGTTTGGGATTGTTCAGGCTAAGGGGGCCAACGACACCATATGGGGTCGTGGGCATTGCCACGGAAGCCACAGGGTTCCCTTTCTGCAAAACAAAAGGGATAGCATGGATTCTGAAGTGATTTGCACATCCCTCTCGTGGCTCAGATGTTGAAAGACGGTTTCCGTTCCGTCCGCGCTTCGCGAGAGCTGATCCCTGGAACAAAGGAATCCAATCAGGCTTCGGTTTGTTGGCATTGCCAAATGGAACTTGCTTTTCATAAAACAACTGGGTTCGTCAAAGCCTGTCGGCTCTTCCCCCCCCTCTGAAAGTGAGTAGTACAAGAGCCTGAATAGTCACTAGAAATTGTTGTTTCCCGTGGCCATGACTTGCTTTTTTCTTATGTTACCCCAATTCTGTTTCTTTCGCCTTGTTTCAGCGCGGTCGGCGGCTTCTCTCGAAGCCGCCTTTTTTTCGAGGTGTGGCCGGCCTCGAGGGCCTGCCCTTTGCGGAGGTGGTGTACAAAAAGCAGCGGCATCTCGTGGTGCAGTGGCCCTACTTGCTGCCCTTCCAACTCAGCTCCGGGCACCTCACGGTGAGGGTCTTCCTGGCAGAGGACGCGCTCGGATGGTGGAAGGGCGAGCGCGCGAGCGCCACCTTTTGGGGGTTGAAGGGTGGCATGCAATTTGAAGGTGGGCTTTTCCAGGGCATGGGGCATGCGGAGTTGTTTTTTGTTTGTCGTTGATGTGTTGCCATTTCCCGAGTCTTCTTCTCACCGCAGACCTCCGTTGCGGACCCTCCGCCTCGTGAGACGAAGCCGCCGCAGGATGAGGGCGCCTTCCTGCAGCTGCGGCGGGAGGCGCTGGGCTGCGGCGAGGTGAGCCTGGAAAGCCTTGAGAGCTGCGCCCAGGAGATGCAGGAGAGGGCCCTTGGCTTGGGCATGCCGTTTTTTTTTTTTTTTTAATAATCTTTATCTGATGGCGTGGCGTTTCTGCGCCTTTTTTCTTTTTTGTTTAAATGCGGCTTGACGAGAAATTGCAGGGATGGTGGGTAAGCTTGACGGTGCTGTGGTTCTGCATAATATCCGATTTCCTATCTTCAGTCTTCAGGTAGCCTCCTTTCGCCACCCAGAGGATGAAGGAGAACATTTGAACACCGGTGCTTTTGAGGGCACCCATTCCACCTTGGCTTAACGGGAGAAAAAGAGAACGCACTTATTTTGGGTGACGCCCTGTTTTGATGTACATTTGGGAATCCAGGATGAAGAGCCCTTTGGACTCCCATTGGAGGAACTTGGGAATTGTGCAACGTGGTTGTGGAAACACGCTCCTTGATCCAGGCCAGTTGCTGTGATACACTTGTTGAACCCCACGTTATGTCCGAAGGGCCATGTATGGGCCTCCCAAAAAGCATAGGACTCCTTTCGAGCCTCACACAAAAAACCGGAATGCTGGGTGGGAGGAGATGAACTCTGTGGCCATGCTATATTTCTCACATGTGGCTTCTTGGAGAAAGGTGCGCCCAACCAAATACACACCTGTAGGAAGTGAGCAGCCACATGTATGCATAAATAAACAAGCAAGAAACAACGAATACACACACATAAGATAACATAGATAATTGAATAGATGGCCTTTGTCCACAACACATGTTGACTCATCCTTCCCCCCCCACCTCCAATCGTTCAATCGGTGGATTGCCATGCCAGGAGCTGGTGCTGCCGCTGTCCTGCGGCGCCTCGGTCCGCGTCTTGGCCCAGCGCCGCGCGCGGCTCCTGGCCGCCGCCTGGGCCCTCTCCGTGGCGGAGCGCGACGCCGCGGTCTTCGAGGCGGCGAGTCCGGCGGAGCCGCGGGAGGCGCGGGGGACGGGTGGGGGATGGTGGGGGGTGGGTGGGGCCCGGGTGGAGTGGCCACAGGGGGGGCTGATGATTTTGTCTTTCCCCCCAATTCGCACAACTGTGGTTTTGGACCGCTGGTTCTTAACGGCTAAATGGGGAAGGACGCCTAACCTCTCAGCCGCACAGCCCAACCAGTTGGCGATGGGGGCCTCGTAGGTCTGGAAGGAAAAGTACGAGAAGCAGAAAGAGGCAGTCGAGGCGTTGCGGAAGGAGCACGCGGAGATCCTAGAAGGATTGCAGGCGGGGGGTTGGCCAGTTCCAACCTGGTGTGGAGACCGAGTCACAAGAGGGCTTCCAACAACTTTGTGTTGGTTTCACCACGCGGCTTTCGTCGTTGTTTTTTTCTACAGGAGTCTGTCCGAGACTCTTTGCTTGAGGCTTCCATGGGGTCCATCTCCACCTCCCCCAATCCCAACCCCCCCAACCCCCCCCCAACCCCAACCCCCCCCAAACTCCCGCCCGGACCCCACCCCCCAAACCGCCCCCCCCCCCCAGACCTCGCTGCCCCGATCGATCCCCTAGGCCGAGAAGGCGCGGTCCCGCGCGAAGTCCACGGCGGCGGCGGAGCTCACGGGGCGCATCCTGTGGCGTGCGGTGGCGGATGTGGTGCTGCTGGCTTGGGCCCAGTGGGTGGCGCAGGCATGGGATGCGGGTGGATTGGGGTGGGATGGGATGGATGGAGGTTGGTTCCAAAGGGAATCTATCACTACCGGAAATATCTTTTTTGTTTTTTTGGTCTTAACCAAATGGAGGAAGGGCTCTCAGAAAGAAAAGCAATGAAGCGAAGCAAGGGGAGAATCACAGCCCTTTGGCAATGGAAGAGGGTGTGCAGTCTGAGACTTGGATTCGTGAATCCATTTTCTTCTTGGGAGGGAGGCTGTGTATTGGAACTCGGGCACCTCAATTCCCCGAGTCCGGGCCTGCAAAAGTCAAAACATTGCTCGAGCCCTTTTGGGTTGTTGGCTTTCAGGGAAGAATAAAAGCTTGAGCTCAGGATGCTTTGCCCATAGTGGGAAAGCATGTGTGCCCGACTTGGGCAGTAGTGTTTTGCAACCTCATGTTTCAGAAGCATGAGATTCTCCTAAGTTGAGACCTTTTGGGTTAATCGAAAACGACCAGCGGGAAACGGCTGAGGGTACGCTCCTGACCTTCTTTTGCTCTCCCCCCCACCCCGCACCCTGACAAACGTGGATACGCTCCTATCATCCTGAGGATGGACCAAAAGAAACGCACAAGAAACGCACATCTTCCTTCTCACCCTGACAAGTCTGGAAACGTTCTTCGCCAAGAAAGGGCCAAACGAATCCGAATGAAATAATCTTTGTTCGGTGGCTCTCTTTCATTCACCGGGCTTCAAAGGACCCATTTGTAGCTTTGCCAGTGGTTCATTCACCGGGCTTCAAAGGATAGCCTTGCCGGCTCCGCCTTCTCCGGGTAGGAGAAGAGCCAGCGCCAGTTCATCCAGCTCTCCGAGGACGCCCAAATCTTCCAGGCCTCCAGCACCGAAGAGCGGCATTTGGCGCAGCAGAAGCTGCGGCAGCTGCAGAGGGACAAGGCGGGGTGGGGTGGGGGCGACGGGCGCGGGCTCCCAGAAACGTCCGAAGCCAGGGGTGCAGGGCTTCCGTGGCCTGGAGTGGTTTTTGAGGGTGCGGGTATTATTTTTTTGGGGCTGATGGAGAGGTGAGTTAGAGCGAAGTGCATCATTTGGGTGGTGCCCGATTTTTAGAGGCCGCCCGGGCCCCTATGTGTTCAGTCTTGGGTGGCTTTGCCACTTTTAAAGCCCCCAAAAATGGGCACACCTGAGAAGGGTGGGTTTGCTTTCTTTCCCTTTGTCTGGGACAGCGTTGGGGGAAGTTTCTGGTTCGAGCTCTGGCTGATGGAGGGGCCTTCATGGCCTTCTGCACCTGGACCGGGTCGACAGGGGCAGCCCTTCGAGGTCCTTGTGCAAGACCTCCTTAGAATGGGGAATCGAGGGGCTCTCATCAGTGGAAGCTTGGAGCTTCTTACATCTGCTGCTTTCCAGGGTCCAGCTATTGGATCTAGGTCTGGCGCTTCGCTTTGCGGCGCTTCGCCAGCCGTCACCGCATGAGACCTCCGCTTGGGTCGTTGCCGTCGCTGCGCCGGTGCGCAGGACGGCGCCTTCTGCGAAGAGGCGAAGCTGCAGGAGTTGGGGGGTGGGGTGGCATCCCGAGTTTTGAGCACCGCACAGGTAGACGCAACTTCCCTTTGGTTGATATCCCGGGACCCTGCTTGGAGCATTTCGGCATTGCTCCAACGACCGGATCGGCACGAGGTGGAAACTAGAGCCAACTTTCTACCCTTGCGTTCTTACTCTTTAGAGGCTCGCAGCTGCCATGCTGGGGGTAGCAAGGGGTGAGGGGGAATTTGTCGATGGGGCGAAGGATCAAGACAGGCATGAGCCGTTCGAAGATTGTTTCTGGCAGGCGTTCGAGTCTGGAGTTCTTTGTCGCTTCCCTTCTTACTTGAAGCATGATGTTGGGCATGCATGAAGGTTCTTTTTGAAGTGCGGTAGTGGGAACGGAGTTAAGAAACGCGGTTTGGTGAACATTGGCTAGAAGAAGTCTCAACCATGGTTTGAGTATATTTCGAGGTTGGCGATGTGGTCAACCGAGCCCCGCCCAATTGCCGTACCTTGCGTGGATGCAAATGGTGGATATCGAGCGGCCGCGACCCACGTGGTTCATCCCCAACATGTTCACTTGCCAGGTTTGTTTTTGGTCTTGGTCCCTGCCTGCTTCGCATTTCGGGATGCAACCATGCCTCACACCATGTGCCTAAGGTCCCCAGTTGCTCGAAGCGAATCGACTGGGCCCAAGGCCAGGTGGCAAGGATATTTGAAAGACCTCCTGTATAATCACGTCTTTAAGTTGTTCAGATGGCTTTGGGTCGCAACCAGGGTTTGGACTGCTACCTGTTATGTAAAGAGCCTTTGCAGGGCGCTTGTTCTTTCAACAACTTTCGTGCAGCCCTGGTCACAACCTCCCCGTCAGGGCTTGGGCAAAATGGCTTTCAACCACGGGTAAATGTTGGCTTAAGCATCTTTGAGCCAGTTAATCCAAGCCAGGCGGGGCGTTGAGGGCTTGATGAGGATGTTGGAACAATGTTGGCTGAAGCACGTTTGAACCAGGAATTGATACGGTCCAACCATGTCCAAGGGTCTGGACTTGAGCCATTTTGGCTTTTGGTGTAGACCTAATGATTCAACTCAAGACCCCTGAGGGCTTCAACCAGGTCGTTGGCTCCAGGAGCTCTGGTCCCTTCGCCTGGACGCCTGGGGCCGGCGCCTCGGGCCCGGCACTGGCAGGGACCGGGAGCTCGCGGCGCTGCATTTCTCGTGGGGCGCCTGGCGCCTCCGCGTGCGGCGGCACCTGAAGCTGTGGCCACTGGCGGGGAAGGACGGGAGGAAGACGTTGCACTCAAAAAGTTGCACTCAGGGAGTTACACTCAGGGAGTCGCACTCAGGGAGTTGCACTCAGGGGTGGTGCTCTTTCTTCGGGAGGAGGGTGAATTACCCTCCCAGCAGGGGTCTTTCTCTTTCTCTTTCTTTGGGAGGAGGGTTGGAACTGGCAAAAAGAAGGACCCCTCTACGACCCCTCTGAAAAAGCGAAAACACGTGTCAATACCAGCAATTCACATGGAACCCGACAAGTTTTCTTTCCTGGACCCCCCCCTGCTGTTTTTGTTCCTTAGGCCAGGCTTCTGGGTGCCTCTCTTCAGGAGGCGCTGACCCTCCTCTTCCGCCACCTCCAGGCCTGGCGCCTCTGTGCCGCCTCCGGGCGGCGAAGGCACCAGGCGCGAGCCACCGCGCGCCGAGGGGTTCGGCCTCTTCCTCGGGCCGAGGAAAGGGCACGAAATGTCGACCAAGCAAATCCCGGGCGGTGGGCCTTTGTGTAGTGGGGCTTCTTTTCTTGAAGGAACTTCCCCCTGACTCATCAACTGGGGGGGTTTATTTTGCGAAAGCACAGAAAGGGTTCCTTTGGCTTCAGCAAAAAGTGCCAAGCCTCCAGGTCAACCCTCTGGCAAAGAATCCTTGGAGGTCCTTGGATCATGAGTTTCTGAGCAAGGAACCCGTTGCCCAAGGTTTGAACAGGGTTCTCTGCATCGCCCACTACATCACCCCGGCAAAGAGAAACTCACCTGAAACTGTCAGCCCCCCCTCCAAGAAGAAAGGGAAGTCTTTGCGAAAATGATAGGTCCTTATTCTCTGGGAGCCCTCCTTCACCCCAGAAAAGCTCACCTGGTTTTTTCAGGGGCGCGACCTTGTTTTTTTGGCTTGAATTCAGGACGGGATTCTCTTTTTTCCATGGGGGCTGGGGGTGAGGGAGGGAAAGGGGGAGGGAGCCCAAACAAGCTCTTCTTAATCCCTGAATAAGGCCTTATTTAGATTTGGGCTCCCTCCCCCTCCCTCCCCCTCCCCTCCCCTCCCCTCCCCTCCCTCCCCTCCCCCCTCCCTCCTCCCTCCCTCCCTCCCCTCCCCTCCCCTCCCCTCCCCTCCCCCTCCCCTCCCCTCCTCCCCTCCCCTCCCCTCCCCTCCCCTCCCCTCCCCTCCCTCCCCTCCCCTCCCCCTCCCCTCCCCTCCCCTCCTCCCTCCCCTCCCCTCCCCCTCCCCTCCCTCCCCTCCCCCTCCCCTCCCCCCCCCAGCTTCCAAAAGCACGCCTTGTTTTTCAGGAGCGCGACCATTTTTTGGGGTTTGAATCCATGGGATTCCCTTTGGGTCGGACCTCGCTTCCTCGCCAGGCCTTGGCTTTGGCGGAGGCGGAGCTGGCCGCCCTTGCGGCGGCGCGCCTCAGAGCGGCGGAGGCGCAGCTCGGCGGAGAGTCCGCCTCTGTGCCCTCCACCCCACCCCCACCCCCCCGCTGTTCTGGGGAGGGGGGAGGTTCCGTGCCCATAGGTGGTCCTTTTTTGGGTGATCTTTGGTTGGAACATAATTAGAGGGCGCCTGGTGGTTCAACCAACTACCAGGGCCATCTATTTTCCCAAAAAGGACACCTTGTTTGCTTGTTCCTGCGGCCTCCTTGATATTTAAGGCGGCCTTGTTGTTTTTGTCGTGGGGTGATTTTCACTAACCCCGTTTCCACCGGGACCCGTGGCAAAGCGAAGTACCCTTGCTGCAGTGGCTACGTGGCGTCATATCCCCCTAGGACGCGCTGGGTGGGTTGGGGGTAGTGGAAACCATTTTAGATGGGGCCCTGCGCTGTGTGTGAGTGTGCAGTGTGGACTTATGACGTAATCTCGGGTGTGCTCCGTTGTACCCCAACTAGGCAAGGCCACAGAGATACGCCCTGACGGGTGCGGGACTTTCCCTTGAAAGCTCCGGTGGGGTTGGTTGCATCTCTGGTTCCCGCAGCGGACGCATCACGATGGTTGTTTTTGTTGTCTAAGCGGGGCATGCTTGGTCATCAGCTGGTTTTCAAAAATGGGGTACACGGTTTGGTTTCCTTCCGTTTCCTAAAATGGGGGGTTCGGGGCTAACCATGATTCATTTTTCTTGTGCTCCTTTGATTTTTTTCTGACTTTTTGGTGAAGATCGGGACCCTTCCTTTCTTTCGCTTTCAGAGGTCCAAAAGTGTGCTTCCTGCTTCTCTTTTGCTCTCCCCCTGGTCTTGGCTTGGGGGTTTGAATACCTGATTCTTGTTGAGGCTGTATGGGATAGACCGCCACCGATCCAACCCGTCCTGGGGGTCTTTTTGCCACCAAAAAGGTGGCAAAAATGATGGACCCCCTGGTAGTGAAGGATTCCTGTTCTGGAGGGGGTCGCCAATTTTCCGCAACATGACCCGGCCCGGGGCCCAAAATCCAAGTGGATTTGGGGTCCGAGCTGGTTCCAAGGCTGGAGAGCCTGGACTGGCGCTGGCACCAGCGGGCGGCGCTGGAGCAGTGGCAGGCCTGGGGGTTGGCTTTTGGGGTCTCTAAAGATATGGGTGTGGCGCAAAAAAATAACAGGCGGGATTTGGTCCATGTTTCCACCTACCAGCGTTCCATTTCGGTACCGGTTTTTTGAGCCACAGCCATATGTTGAAGAGGTTTTGGGTAGGCGGGATATGGAATAGAGACAGGACTCCTGACTTTCTGTGTGCACCTGTGGGCCAAGAGATGGTCACTCATAGCGGCTCCGCTCCGATTCTTTCGCTACGACTTTGTGTTAGCAATGGGAGGGCGTGGCCGGGTGCAACAAACATGAACGCCAACGCCGAACGCCCCCCTGTCAGCTTCCATGGATCCTTAATCCTGATGCCAGATGGGCTGAGGGCATCCCACGGGCTACGGAGTATGAGGGATCCCCTCCATTTTCGACAGCCCAGTTGGCCAACCAAAGGGGCCAAGCCTTAGGAGGCGGCCCCTTGAAGAGAGGGCAGCTTAGAACAAGCTCACCGACTCGGGGCAGAAGCAGCTTACCCATGAAGGTCTCTTGTTTTTTCTCTTTTTTGGGGTGGGGGGGGAGGAAAGGGGGGGGTGAGCAATTCTGATAAGGAAAGCACTTGACCCCACCCAACCCATGTAGCTTCACCAGAGGGGGTTCCCTTCAAAGCCCTGGGCAGAAGGGGCCATGGGCGGTGCTGCACGGAGCTCGCAGGCGCTGCTGCTGGACCGCCGCTCCGCCCAGTTCCTGCGCTTCGCGCTGGGCTGCGCCGCCCAGCGCGCCGCCGGTGCGGCGCCGCGGCAGGAAGCGGGAAAATGGGTGCATATATACATTTATATCTATATCTTTCAATATGTATGTCTATGTATTTATGTATATATATATATATATTTATGTGTGTGTATGTATGCATACACACATATACATATATATATATATATGTATATAGATAGATATACACATGCATCTGCATATGTATGTGTAGATGCATATGTGTTTAGAGCCTTCTGGCCCCTGGGCAGAGCTTTTAGAACTCGAATGGCTCTACATGTTTGGACAGGTTTTGGCCTCCCGTCCCCATCCCTTCAACTAGGAGGAGGCCACCTAGTTTCTTGCGAAGAAACTGCAGCATCTACTGTTCCTTAGGCCCTTAGATGTTTGTCATTTACTTTAGTGCTTGTTTGCTTCACTTGCGCGCTGCGTGACAAATCGCAACCGCTACGTGAATTCAAAAGGACAATGCTTTCTTTGAGAAATAGGCATAGTCAGTACAGCATTGAACGAATTAATAGATATAACTGAGAATATTTGACAAGTGTGCTTCAATACATTCATGGATGTCTACATATATATATATATATATATGTATATATATATATATGTGTGTGTGTGTGTACGCATGCTAAGCTCATACACATTTTGCGCCATTTGGGTCTTACCCCTAACCGCCCGCAACTTGGCCTCCCAGGTGCTGGGTGTTTTCCTGTGCCGCTGGCACAGCGTGTGCCTGGGCCGCCGCGAGGCCAAGGTGGCGGCGGAGCGCGCTGCGCGGCGCAGCGCGTGGCGCCGGCGCAGGCGCAGCACGGCGCAGGCGCTGGAAGCGCCGGCCGGGTGGTGGCTGGCGGGCTTCCTGGCCTTTGCCCCTCGAAACGGACACTCGAGGTGGTTGTTGGCCGTGTTTTGCGTTTTTTCATTTGTCCTTTTTTGGGGGGGGTGGGGGGGTGGGGGGCGGGGGGAATTATATATTGTTTGGACATTCGGAGTTTGGGGGGTCGTTCTCGTGTTTCTGTTTGAAAGGGGTAATCCGGTGCCCGGCTGGCGGGCTTGTGCTTGTTTCTGTCGGAATCGCCAGTTGGAGCTTTCACTGACATGGGGCCGCTACCCAACGTTTGGTTTCAGGGTGGCTGCCGAGCTGTTGGGCACGCTGAATCCACTAAAAGCAGTAGCTTCACGACCTTTCCACCTCGCCAATCTTCTTCCTCAGAGGATCCTGTGGGATAACCATGGTCGTTCAATGGTGTTTCGTTCCATGGAGTTTGCTTTGTGAAAGGGGCCCTGAACAGCGCCTGAGCAGCCCATTCAAGTCTTTTCTTAGTGCCAGCGGCTTTCATTGGCCCATGTAAATGTTGAATGTTTGATCCCTCCCTCCCTCCCTCCCTCCCTCCCTCCCTCCCCTCCTTTCCCCTCCTCTCCTCAACCTGATCCAAAGGTCCTGCAACAGTGGCGGGACGGTGCCAGGCAGGCGCGCATCCAACAGGTGCTGGAGGAGCAGCGCGCGGATCGATCCGCTGGCCAAGTCATTTTTTTTGTTCCGCACCTGTTCCTTTGGTCATGAATTTCAAGGGAGGGCTCCAACCGAGACAGCGAAAAGGCTGAAAGTCACATTGCAGATTGCGGGACATCTTTTGGCATGATGGTTGCGCAGCTGAGGAGATACACTTTGCACATCCACAATCAGCTTTTCAACACTCATTGTCCCTATCAGACCTTTCGGTGCAAAAGGCTGCCGCATGTCTCACTGATTTGTTTGCTTCCTAGGCCTTCCATGAAAGCGTCTCCCGTGCTGAATAGGGGGCCTGCCCTGTGTAGACTCAATGTAAATGCAAAGCAGTGATGCCTGCTCAGTATACATGCCAGGGCACTCACTCTAGAGTCACAAACCTCAAGGACCTGGATGCTCCCCACACAGCGGGTTCCTTGCGCTTTTCGACAAGCACTCTTTTGCTGTACGGGTCTTAAGGGGACTTGACTCCTTGGTTCTGTCACAATCCCTTTTCTCGCGGAGACGGAACATTTGCGCCCCCGCCCCAACCTCCCCCAACCTCCCCCAACCTCCCACCTCCCCCAACCTCCCCCGCCCCACCGCTCGGGCGCTTGCGCTAGGAGCAGCTGCAGTCGCGGGAGGCCGCACAGAGCCAACTCAGCGAGAGTCAGCGCGAGCTGCAGGGCCTGCAGGCCGCAAAGCGCCAGGAGGACGGGTCTCGGAGTCTCGAAGCTCCGATGTCGATGTGGTGGGAGTCGAAAAGGGCGGTGTTCGAGTCGGCGGTGCAACTGGGGCTGTGCTGGCTGTAGGAAATCACCTGGAGGAGGAGGAGAAGCAGAAAGCACATTGCAGGTTAAAGATCACTTACTTTATTTGGGATATCTATCGTCAGGTTGGCGTAGTGATGCCTAGTACTTGGTGCAGACGGATGGGATTTGCGGTGGGTCAGACCATGCGTTCCTGGGGGTGTTCAGCCTATGGGGTGGCTTCCTTGCTAGGTTTCTACTCGCGCTCCCACGAAATGTTGTCTCTTTGGTCAAAAATCGAGCCCCTGTGTTTGGGGCACCTTCCATGGCAGGAGGGCTTTTGACATTAAGTGAGCCACAATCAAGACCTGGTTAGATGAAGGTTCACAGGGGTTCGTCCAACCATTAGAGGTGCAGTGCAGCCACTTTCATTTTTGCGGGGTTGTGAGCCGGCTCTTTCAGGACTTTTTGCCGTTGTTCACCGTTTTCCACGAGAGGTCGCCCGAAAACCGCTGGTTTTGGGTTGCTCGTGGTGTTTGGGGCGGTGCGGCCACGCTAAGTAGGAGGGCGCCTGGGCCAACGAGCGCAGCGACCTGCTGGAGCGGCTGCAGCACCTGCGGGCGGAGCAGCGCAGCGCGCGGGACCAGCTCCAGGCGGAAAGGGTCGGTGGTTCTCTGCTTGGGGTAAGGATTGGGGGATGGGAGGGATGGGGGAAGGGGGAGGATGGGGGGAGATTGGGGGGATGGGGGGCTCGACACTCGCCAAAGCGAGGTGATGGGTTGGGGTTGTGTGGGGGGTTAGGGGGTTAGGCGGGGGGTTGGGGGTTGGGGGTTGGGGGTTGGGGGGGTTGGTAGGGTTAGGTGATTCACTGGCGGCTGTGCCTTGCAGGCGATCCTGGCGCGGCGCTCTCAGCTGGTCTGGCGCCCGGGGGAAGGTTGGCCGACTTGCAATAGGAGGCAGCTGATCTTACTTGTTTTTGGACAAGAAGTTTCATTATTTTTGCCAATCAACGCAGGGAGTGAGCGGGTGTATTAATACACCCCTGATTGATGTACAGGGCGTGGCCCACTGTGGCGGGAATCCGGAGGACTCTTGGGGGGAACCACCTGCTTGTTCCTTTGCATGGTTTGTTAGTCCGGGCTCGACATTGATACGCCAGCAAAAAGGTACACATACCAACGTCCAAATTTGGGTAATTGGAAGGGGGTTAATTGGTAAGCAATGCCACGAAACAGACAATCAGAAACGAGTTTCCGCATTTCGGCATTTCCCTGTGCCACCGGGCAGGTGCTTCTAGGTGATCCACCTGTCCGCTGGTGAAGGGGGTTCGGGCCGGTATCAAAGCATCAATAAGACTACTTATTGAGAAAAGGCGGGGGATCGATCGGATCGAATGCATTTTTTGGTCCCCATGACAGGGGTAGCAGTCACCTTGCTCGACTTTGCTTTGTTATTTTGGCGGCGTGCCTTTTGGAAGAATTTAACGTCTGGCTTTGAGCCCAATACAACAAGACTTAGATGAAGATCATTCCTTCGGGGTAGCTTTCGTCCAAGGCCCAATTGGCCTACTTGAGTCGTGCCAGCGGCAAGCATTCGAAGCCTTGGGCACCTTTCTTTTCCCATGTTCCGCAGCGGATTTGTCTCATGTTGGTTTCACTGTAAGCCTGCAGGTGCACACAGCACGATGCATCCACAGGTTGCAGGCTATGAGCATGTCCAGAACGTGAAAACAACCCCCAGTGTCGCGTTGGTATCTTAGGAAACACCTTTATGCGGTTGGGCGTTCTTTTGGGTTTTCCAGATGCACGCCATGTTCTTTGTGAGGCTCAGTCAATAGTTCCCCGCTAAGTTTCCAACATGAACCCTGTTGGGGTCAACTTCACAGAAGCTGTGACGGCAAGGGGTTCCCCTTTCACAGGGAATGATTTCCACAAGCCAAGCGGGACGGAACTCGAGCTTTCCCATGCCCGTGACGGGTCCGACCAAGGAAGCGAAACAGGACCCAGCGAAAGGGCCGGGGGGGGGGGTGTCGTCGGCCTTGTGGATCAAGCTTTGGGTCATTGACGCGTGGGGGCATTGATGGGGTACCCTCCATCCTACTGCCTAAAGATGCCTGGGAGGGGGGAGAAATGCTGACAGACCCCATCCCGGGGCTCCGCCACTTTTTGGGAGAGAACCTTTTGCATGCCTCCCAACGGGATCCCACACTCTTAGTGAGCCCATGCATTGTCCCAAACGTTTGGCAGTCCCTGCACTTGGTGCCATTTTTCACGCGCCAGTAGTATCAAAGTGAATGTGAGTTTCGTTGGATGGAGCTGTTTTCAGGGAAGGGCACGTGTCAATCTTTTTTTTTCGGCCCACGTGTCAGGCGAGCAAGTGTCAGGCTCAAGGGTCTTACTGGCTGTTTTCCAGCCAGGGTCATGCCCCTGGGTCCTGCGCCTGGGTTGCTCTTAATGCTCATTGGTCATCCTTCGTCTACACGCCGGATGGTCGTGGTTTCTCTTGGAACGAGACTCCGGCCGCCCCATTTCGAACATCCCAGCTAAGAAAGTGGTTCAAAACCCCTCGAGATAATGGAGAACTTTTCGCCTTCAAGCCCCTTGGGTTGTAGGCTATTTCCGACGTAGACACTTAGGGCTGCGGCATGCTAACTAAATTATGAGACGGATCAAATTCTGAGCCGATTTGGATCAGCCACCCACTTCCCTGTGTTCAAAGGGTTGGTTTACAGGAAAATCTACAGGAAATGGCCCCAAAACGCTCTAAAATTTTGCTGTTCTCCTGCAACATGTCCTACAACCCAACCCTGTGAAGTGTGGGGCTCTCCGTTTTCAGCCGATTTCATCCTTGGCCGCAGCTGTGGCTCAGAGCTGTCAACTGCCCAACTGCCAGCTGACCGCGCCATGTTCTGCTGCTGCAAGGAGGCGCCCGGAAATCGGATCCGATCTTGGTGGGTCGGATCTTTGCGGGCTTACTTCTTGGGGAACAGTGGATTTGTCCATGGGACCCGCAAGAACTCACACTTCCTACTTCCTTTTTTTGTTTGGGGGGGGGGGAGAGGGGTCAACAGCAACCAGGTGATTGAAGGCTGACAGGGTATTCGGACCGAAAAGGCGAGTAACAACACCTCACTCCGCAACTTCCTGGACTTTGTGCTTTTGGGGAAGACCATTTTTAGTGGCGAATAGCAAGTTTGAACTTGTATTTGCCTATCTCCTTTGGAAAGTAAGACCTGTAGCAAGACCCCGATCGAAATTATGAACACCTCTTTGCCACCCAATGGTTGGAATGAAACGAGCTCACGACTAGGCATACAGTAGCATAAAGCTCATCAAAAGTACTGTACGTTGTTCGGCCATTCTAGGGCTTGCGGCGTTGTTAGGGTACAAATGACCTTTGGGAAGGATTCAGCAGAAAGCAGCGCTACTTTCAAATGGCCAGTTTGACTAGCAGAGCCACTCGACTGTGCAGAAGGGCCCAGGATGGATGACGGTTTTCTGTCACAGTGTTCACTGGAGGCCACCTCTGGGATGTGACTTGGTGCATAGGTTACTTGTTTTTCACCCTCGAACTGTTTGCTTCCCGTGTTGCCGCTTTTTCCTGGGACCCCCCTCTTGTTTCCGATTGAGCCTGGTTGACTTGCCTTGGCTGTCCGGAAAGCCCGAAACCCAGTTGCCAATGCAACATATACCCATCCTTTTGGTCAGCCAACCGGTCAAAACAGACAAGGTTGCTTTTGGTGGGGCTAGGTGGGAATGTCCAACTTTCCTGGCGTGCCTCTAACCGGCCTTGGAGACGACTGTGCGACCAGATCCATGCACTTTCCGTGGTACCAGGGGAAAGCACCGTAGCCCCACTTCCAACCCCTTTTAGTTGAGCTTACTTCCCACCGTCCACTTGCACCCTGGTGCTAGGTCCGCCCCCAAGTTCTTTGGTGGATTCCCGTGAATTGATGGGGATCCTTGTCCTCCCCCAGTTTGGGGTTCCTGGGTGGCTGGCTGGAGAGGCCGGCGGGGAGGAGGAGCTCACAGACACGAAGCCGCTTGGCCTGCGATTTTTGAGGCTGCCCTCACGTGCAGCAGCCATGTCAACCATGGTTTCTTAGGTGCTGAGGTGGATTTGAAAAGCCATCCAGGGGATTTTTCCATTTGTTCCAGGAGGCTTATCAGGTATCCCTGAATTGTGGTGGCCTGCAACGGGATCCCATGTTGGTGTGGGTGAATTCACCCATTTTAGAACCTATTTTAGTGGTTAGATTGGGATGTTCACTGTGGCTACGATTTGGGTGTTGAGATTCCCATGGCCTCAGCTCCACTCGGCCAGCGGCTTTTGCCGCCTTTTGGTCGCCAGGCTGAGGGAGGCGGCCCTGATCAAGACGGCGGCCGCCATGGACGAGGAGTCCATCCCAGCGCCTTTGCCTCCGGGCTTGGTGGGAATGAGCTGAGCACCGAAAGGGGGAAGTCAAACTGAAGAAGAATCCAGGGGAAAACCAAGTATTCGCACCCTTTTTTTGGGGATGGTGTTTTAAACATCACGTCTTTGACTCAGTTGCCCAAAGCCGACCCTTTGACGTTTGGTTTCCCATGTTGGTCCATTTTTAGCAAATGTGGCCACAGGTTAGCCTTCTATTTCTGGGTCCTTTTGGGCAAGTGAGCTTGGCCCAGTTCAAATTAAAGGAGGCTCCTCTAGGTGGGGCGCTGTTTGCAACAGACATGTGGGAGCCCCGTTTCGGGCGTCGTTTTCGGAGCGCGCCCTTGCAGGAAACCTCCGGGTCCCGAGTTAGCCCAGGGCGCATGCGGTTTAGGCCCTTCTATTTCAGCGGGCCAGGGCGAGCGGCTCTTAGGGCAAGGACTCCTCGCATTCGATGCCCCCGAGAAGCTGCAAAGCTTCTGACCTCGGATCGAGCCCAGGCCAGCGCTTGCTTTTAACTTTGTTTTCTGGAACGGCTGCAATCAAGTGACTCAGCCTTCGGCAAAAATCGGGGACCATGGTGCTGCCGCAGTTGTTTGCCCATTAGCTGGCTGGCACGGGCCAAAACCGACGGCTCAAAGAGGCGCCCCGGCAAAATCATCCCACCAGCCCGGAGGTTGTAGCCTCCCTCCCCCCAAGGAAACAGAACCATGAAGTCGGTGGATACCCCGCACACTTGGGTGGCTCATCGCATCGAGAAATCGGTGCATGGCGATGCCCCACTGGACTGTGGAATTTGGGTTCCATGCTCCTCTTTGTGGGGAGTGGCTAGGGTCCTAAACCCCGACTCCGCTGCCCCGCTACCCCGTTGTGGTGTTGGGGATGTGAGCTCTGAGGACCAGTTTGTGGTGACTCTGAGCAGCACGCCGGGCATTTTGCTGGACGTGACTGATGCTTGGCGCCGTTCCGCGCGCACTCCCCCACCCCCCCCCACACATGAAGGTCCGCACAAGTGAACCTCACCTTTTTTGGCCGTCCTGGTGGGAGAAAAAAACACCTGTGTGACCTTCTGTTGGCGAATCCACGCGGGAAGTCCCGAGCGCCTTCCATGGAGGTAGATGATTCCACTAGGAGCTTCCCGGAGTTTTGGTGTGAGAGGGGTCGGGCGCTCCCTCGCGCCTATGGCACACCCCAATTGTTTCCCATGTGCCCTCGGGCTTGGGTTGGTTTAAGTTTGTTTGGTTCGATTTGGGTAGTTTGGTTGACTTTCGATCGAGGGGTAGGGTACCAAATAGTTTAGGCCCCACAAAACTTGATACAAGTCCGTTTGGCTCAAGTTTGGAGTTTCGTTTGGCTCAAGTTTGGTGTTGGCTCGTTGCTTTGGCGAAGGGCCTGAAAATGAGGGCTGTGGGGGACATGTAGCATGTGTAGCGTTGTTTGATGTGGTGCGGCACTTGGAGGTGCAGTGTGGGAGTCCACCTGGTGATCCGATTGGATTGATTGAAAGATGTTGCATGATTCATTCATGCGTATGTTTTCATATAAGCTGTATGTGAAATAAAGGAAATGGAATGGACTTTACATATGTTTCTTATATTGAAACTATTGAATTAGTATGATGTTTCAGGGGACCAGAAAGAAACGGAGGAGGCCGTCACATCAACGGGTGCTTCCTCTTATTGGAAGAGGGACCAATCTTGAAAATCACATCCGGCCTGCAGTTCGGGCTACCAAGCTCTGCAGCTCGGGCTACCAAGTTCTGCAGTTCGGGCTACCAAGCTCTGCAGTTCGGGCTACCAAGCTTCCTTGACGTCGTGCAGAGCGGATGCAGATATTGCCTCAGTGCCAGATAATTAACTCCAAATATCCAGAGCAGGCAACAGCGCCCAAGGAATGGTATCGCCCCCGTTTGCAAGGCTGCGATCGGGGGGTCTTGCGATCGGGTTTGTCGGAAATCGGCCCCTGGCGCACCGAGCGATGGGGCCGGCACTGGCCGCTACAAAGCTACAAAGTGCCGTTTTCGCCTCGGAGGCTTTTTGGAGCGTCTGAGCTAGCCCACTATCTTGGCGGGCGACTTTTTGCCGTTGCATGGACGGAGTGGCCCTCGAGCGTTTTGCTTGTATGATTATGCTTTTGATTGATTGCTTCATTCTGGGAGAAGTGGCCACAAAGAGGGCCCGAATGGGCAACGCGGCTTCATCCCTTGTTCCTTGCGGGGGCCACCGGTCGCATCTGAGTGAATCTTTCCCCGCACCGATCTAAGAGAGGAAGCATATATAACCTGTTTGTGATATTGCTTGGCTTCCTGGACGCCAACCCAGGTTATATGGAATATATGCTTTTTGTTGGAGGAGGGAAAATCAGGAACAATAGAAGCTTCAAAGGGGTCATTTGTGAGCAAGAGCAAGCCTGTTGTGATGGTTCTCCTGAGTAACTTGAGGGGTAAAAGGAGCATGTACAACCCATCCAACATTGATTCGCATGGCAAGTGGAGCCGCAAGGGAAATGGCGTTGGGTCCTTAATCGGTCTCTTGTCACCACTCTTCGGTTCTTAGAATGGAAGCTTCCCCATTCTTTCAAGGGATCCTTCTTGTCAGGAAACCATCAAACACCTAGGGCAAACAGCCGGTTTTTTGAAAAGAACGATGGCTGCAACAGGATGGAAAAGGAATCAACTGGAGTTGTCCTTCGGAAAATCAAAAAGTGGAGCTGAGGACCCGGAGTGCACCATCATCAAGGAGATCACGGACGGCGCCGCGGCGGAGTGGAACAAGACGGCGGGGGTGGGCAAGACGGTGCGCCCCTTCGACCGGGTCATGGAGGCGGGGAGTTAAATAATGTTAGCCCCGGATTAGTAAACCCCAGTTGATTCATATGGGGGGTGTCCCTGGTTTTAGTGGGGATTTGTCACTTTTGGAGGGGAACACCCCCATATATATATATATAAAACTGGGGTTTGTGAATCCGGGGTCAACATTAGGAGTCACTGGACAGGCGTAGGGGGTGGTCCGATCCGATCCCTTCCAGAGCGTGCAGCTCGTAAGATTTGCCGGGGTTCAAGGATCAGCTGATCAGCTTTTCATGGATAGACTTTGAGTTTCCCTTGGAGTGATTTTTTTTTCCGTGGGGGGGGAATAGGAGCACCTTTTTTTGGGTGGTTGGCTTTAAGGGCAAACCAGCCATTTAGGGGGAGGGGCCTACTCATCCCGAGACAAATCCAAATGATTCAAGTGAGTTGCTCCCTTGCAGCCCGTGCTACCATAGCTCCACCTATTTTATGGCGAGCTCACCAGAGGATGTTGCACGAGCTCACCATGTAGGTCTTTTACTTGGGCATCCACTTTCTCACGTCAGGTCCCATGTTGCAAGTGCTGCCCCACCAGAACCCCCATGAACGACACACCTCTCCACCTCCCCCGCCCCCCGCAATTGAAAAGTATCGACTTTGATATTCTGAAACTATTCCGCTATTGCACAGCCAGGCGTTTGCAATTCCAAATCTTCCAAGAATGCAGAGTTAAACAATAACCATGAGGGAATCACACTTGGTTATGCCTCAAACTGATCTCCCTTGGCTCTAATTGGCTGTCATTTCCCCTCATGAACCACTTTTTAGCCATTTGTTGGCTCACCACTCATTTAGCCTTCATTGGATTGCCTTTCGCCCCTCATTTTCACCAGATGCCCCGGCCAACAAACATTTTTAATCACCTCCCATTCTCTTTGCTCCGTTGCTCTTCATTTGCAGCTTTCTTCCCCCATGGTTGCATTGATTATCCCTCGTTTGCTGCTTTCCCGCAGCCCCACCACCCCCACCACCCCCACCACCCCCACCACCCCCGCCACCCCACCCCCACCACAGGTCACTCCACTCTGGCACCAGGTCAACGGGGTCCGCGGCACCAGCGTGCAACTTGCGAAGGCGCTGGGCGGCAGCGACTCTTTGAGCATCACCCTGCAGCGCCCGGAGGAACCGAACCGGTTGGCGGCTCCGAACTGGGCCTTGTTCCATGTATTTCCCCGCTTTGGGCGCGGGTTTTAAGCCGGCTTTGGCCCTTTGAAGGCTGGACCGTTGAAAGGGTGTTAGAAAACTTCTTGGGTGAATCAAGCGGGGGTTCCCCACACTTCCTCACCCCCCCCACAGCTGCTGGATCTTGAAGGTGTTCGGGAAGATCAAGTCCGGATTTGTCTGACCAATCCACTCAGGAACCAGTTTTTCATGTTAGTTTTGGAAGACCGATTTGAAGTGAGGTTCCTTTGAGTGGAGCGTCCCTGTAGTTTCCCTTTTGGTTGTTTGACACAGCACTTGTTAGGCCAATTTCCATTGTGAGGTGCTGATGGAGGCCTTGGGGTGGTTTTGGCTTTCCACCCTTTGTTACCAATGCTGATGGAAGGGGTGATTTCAGGATTTTTTGATGAAACCACGGCCAACATTTTTGCGGTTTCCAACCGTGTTCCCCTTAACCCAAGCCATGGCACCCTCAAAGCAAGGGCAAACCCAGGTGCAGCCTTCGCAGGAGGAACCCCTTTTTGGGGGGTCCTTCCTCAAATGCCGTGAGCAAAAACCGTTGACCTTGGGTTGGGAGGGACGGTCAAGCCCTAGGGACTTGAAACAAGCGAAACACAGGCTACGTTGGGGAGCCGTTACAAGCTTTGACCATGGCATGGAGTTGGCCTACCAGGAAACTCTCCTCGAGGTCCCCTCGTGAGATCGCCTCCAAGCGGCGCCTTATTCCAGATGGGTGACTCACAATTGTGCCTCGGTTTTGTTTCAATGTGGGCCTGTTCTAACGGAGGGCTGACCAAGACAACCAGCCGCTATGGGGTTTTGGTATCCGATTTGGAGACAAAGCCTCTTTCGGAACCAACTCCGCATGTATGTTTGGAAAAAAAGCCCGCCTCGGCGCGCTTGGAGTTCACACTCGAGAGGGGGTTTGTCGCCGGGCGCGCCATCGCCGCTTCGGGATCATCGTTTCTGAAAGGGGGTCCCGTCCGGGACCCGTCCCGCGCGTCAGTTCTAGGAGCGGGTGGTGAAGTTGGAGCGCCCGGGGGAGATCGGGGTGGTTTTGAACTACAAAAAGATGGGCTCCAAGGCAGGGTGCTGGGCGCAGGGCGCTCAGGGCCGCATGGAGAAGTGGTGGTTGATTGAGACAGGTTCGTATTTAGTTTCCCTTTTTGGGTGCCTTGATCATGCCAACGGTGGAAAGCTAGTCTTCCGGCTTTGAGCTTCGTTCATTCGACGGGATCAACACCAATAGGTCCCTAGAACCGTCTGGCGCCTTGAGGGTAAAACCACAAAACAGACAAACAGCTCAGAATAAGAAGTGCGACATTGACTATTTCTAAAAGGGGTCTGGGGAATCTCTGCGGGATGGAAGGTTAGCATGGGACAGTCTCCAGAGCCGCGGCTGTCCTCCTGTATGAATTCGTCACCTCGCTTTTGACACCAGATTTTGATTCTGACTCACGAGCAGGTGATTGGCGTTTGTTGGGAGCTTCCTCCTTCCCCTTGAGTGACCGTGTTTTGTCAGAGCTCCAACGTTCCCTTACGCCCCTTCCGACCCCATGCCGTCAAGCAGAAGGATGGCAATTGTCAAACTCCGGGGCTTCCCTGCACGTCATGCCCGGGGAAAAGGGAAAAAACGGCGACTGCCTTTGCAACATATCCCCAGCGACCCAACATTTTGAGCGATTTTCTGATCCAGGCGCCCTGGATCACCAAGATCAGCGCGGGCCTGCTGACACAGTGGAACGAGGAGCCGCTTGAGCACCTCTCAGGGGTGTTTTTTGGAGGGGGACAGGGCCCTCCATGTCACTCGGCGAAAGAGACACATGCATGAGTTTCAGATCTTTCCCCTACGAGAACAAAAGCTGTGGGGTTTTAACATTCCCATTTGCAGAAATTTCAAGTGAGGTGATGCGAAGCCCAGGGAAACCCTTTCTGGAGCTTGGCAGTTGCCAAGTTGCGACCCTGTGCCGGCCATTCAGTCGCCATCGTACCCCGCGCATCCCCCGCAAAGGGGCAGCAGTCGAAGTCGACGAATCCTCCAGAAATGGCTTTTGTGTATTACGCGGAGTTCTTCCAAAGTTCATGGCTGGAAGCGGAGGCTTCAAACCTTTGGATCCAAGTTCCCCCCCCCTTCCTCTTCCCCTCCCTCCATCTCCCTGGTCTTCTCCAGCCCCCCCGAAGCAACCGCCTGGCCACCAGAACTACCCGGAGCAGTCGGTGACCATGCACGACCGCATCAAAGAGGTGAACGGCACTGGGGGCAGCCCAGAGGAGCTGATGTCCATGATCAAGGAGGCACAGAGGGCCTTTGGATCAAAGCCGTTCAAGGGGATCGATCTCATTTTGGTTGGCAGGTGAATGCACACCCCTTTTTGGAACCTATTTTAGTGGGGTTTGGTTGATGTTCACTGGGGGTACGATTTGGGTTTTGACAAATGGCCAGATGGTTTGGAGATCGCGAAATGGTTTTTGCCGAGGCCGCTTGTCTCGCCGGCTCGCTTTCCACTCAAAGATGGCCTGGGGGCTGAATGGTTGGAGACCACTGTTGTTGGATGCGATTCGCTTCCCACGAAAAGGTTGTTTGGGCAGCGGCTGCCTGACTAAATGAGTAGCAACCCCGCTTGTGAGGGTGGGGTACGTGAATGACTCAGAACCTTTTTCCCATTCCGACGGCTGGCGCGTAGCCAGTGCTTTCATCGCAGGCCTCCGGTGGGGCATTCCCGGGTTGCTTTTCTGGAAGAAGTTTCCCTTCGGCCACAACAAGCGGCGTCCTTTGCGGGTTCTGGTGAGCGGATGATTGGAGCTGATGAAGAATCCCCAAGTCATTCATTCGGGGGCCTAGTTGTCTCAATCCCCCTGGAACAAAGGAATACCCGCAATAGCAGGACTGGACTGCAAAGCTGGGGGGTTTAGAAAGCAGGGTCGCTTTCGGGGACACATATGATATACTTGGGGCCCGGGGGAAGAACTCGTCCAGTCTTTTGAAAGGCTGTTCTTTTCCTTTTTTTGGGAGGAGGGGGGAGGGAGAAGTATGCCAAAAGGAAACATGTCCACTGCAAAAAAGGGCTTCAAGGTTGATCCTCCCTGGTGGCCGGCCCACTGGGCGTCGCGGCGGCGCTTCGCGCGCACCCAGCAATTCGCCCGAGGGCTTTCCGGTGAAGGTTTTTGTTTGATTCAGGGGCGACATGATCACGGTGAATTGGCTTTCAAAGTGTCCCATGGCCTCATTCTAACCAAGAGGCCCTGAGGGTGTGTCTCATTTTTTTTTCTGGTTTTGCTTTGGCTTCCCTTTGAACCAAAAAGGCGACCTCATGTGTGATTCCCCCGCCAGGGTGCGTTTGTCACTGGTAAATGCGGGTTGTCTTTCGACTCCGCAAGGTCTGGGGATCTTGGGCGGGGTGTCCATGGCCTCATTCCTCATGGCATAGACTCCCCCTCATAGATCCTTCAAAGACACGAGAGGTATTAAGCAGGGACACACATAGAACGGCAGCAGCGACCATGCCGGGTCAGGCGAAGAAAACCTTGGACCTGCGTGTGTTTCACTATGCCGTGTGACAGGATGCTTTCCCATTTAAAGCGACGGCTTGCCACTGAGCAATCTGCGGTGGCCCCGCACCACGTGATCGGGGCATTTGTGAGTATGGCCCAGTACTTGGATGTTTGGCCAAGTTTGTAAGTGTTTAGCCACTTGGGGTATAACCACTTAGCAACAAGGTTAACCCCACTTAGGGGGACTTATAGGTGGGGTACAACCTAGGCTGCCAACAACTTACTAACTTGGCCAAACACACGCTTTGGACGTCCTGATGGTTGGGGACTTCCCATTCCAGTTCTCTCCCCAGAGGTACGGCTGAGTTTCGCTGGTATGCCCTCTCCCTCCTCCCCCGAAGCAAAAGCAAAAACAAAACACACACACACACACACACACACTCTCACACACTCACACGCTCACTCTCATATTCTTCACACACAGAATCAACACACACAAACATGCGCAATCACACAATGACACACAGTCACTCACAGTCATACACAGTCACACACACACACAGCCACACACACACACTCACAATCACACAAAATCACACTGTCGCAATGACACAATCACAATCACACAACCCCACACAATTACACAACCACACAATGACACGGCCAGTTTGGCTCACAGACCGTGTGTGTGTGTGTGTGTGTGTGTGTTTCTTTCTTTCTTCATGCATCAACATTAGGTATTCCGTGGTGGTTCATGCCTCTTCAATGGAGACCAATGCAAAACCAGCCAAGTTGAGGAGCTTTGCTAAACGCATCACGCTGCGTTTCCGCGCAGCTTCCAGACAGCTTGAATCAGAAAAGCGGACCCCCCGGCTTCAGGACGTACCCCCCACCAACGGACGTGTTAGGTGGGCGGGTCCTCTCCGATTTTTCGGCACATGCACTGCAACCGTAGAGGCCTGAGGCGCTCACCATGCAGAAAGTTCCTTTCCCAAGCAAGTTGCCTTTTTCGTGCGGTGGCCGCACCCAGAGAAGTTGGAGAGAAGCTGCTTGCCCAAGTGCCCGGAAAAATCGGGGACGGCCAAATCCGATGCCTGCATACTGTGTGGCCCTCTTGGACCGTGAAGCGAGCCAGGGTGAGCCAATGGTTTTCCCAACAAATCTGCCAGGGGGCGTTGCAAGCACAAAGGGGGGGTTCATGAGTCACACGCCATGGTGAAAGTAGATGACACAATTCTTTCTCTCTGGATAAGGGGCATGATGAAACCAGCGTTCCCCTAAGTGTAAGTCAGAGCCAGCTTTGGCAGAAATGGTGGAACAAAATTGGAAAGGGACCCCTTTTGGTTGGGGTGAGTTGGCGTTTTTCTGTTCTGTTGTGAAAAGGGGGATTGGAAGCTTGTGCGGCTAGCCTATTGGAAACGCCCGCGTGCAAGATTCGGTTGGCCCCTTTGCCTAAGCTGGTCAACTCCTTGGGTTGACCATGGAAATGCGAGGGCCACCATTGCACAGCCTTAGGAACTGAAAGATGGGGTATGTGTCAAAGGGGAGCCTGGATTGAGTGGTTTTCGTGTTTGGCTTCCCCTCAAAAACCCGCCTGAAACCCTGACAAACATGCCGACATGGGCGTCCTAAAAGGTGGGAACCCACAATGGTTGAGTGGCAGCACCCTGCCAGCGCCGCACAACCGGCCAGCGCCGCACAAAAGTCGGCAGGCCAAGGAAGCCGCCAGGAGTTGCCCACCCGCGGGTTTAGGGAACGCAGGATGCTTGGCGTTTTGGGGGTCACTAGTTGCTTTGGGTGCTGCGAACCCCCTTTGAACTCGGAAGCAGTTTCTAAGAGGGCTTGGAACCATAACCCCAGGCAACCAAACGGCCGACCCATGATCATAGTGATTTCTGGCAATCTTTGTGCGATCGTCTTCTGAGGATTACGCAATGCGAAGACATGTGTTTTCCCTTTGCCTTGGCTGGCTTCGATTGCTACATCAACAATGGGATCCGGAGCACTTATCGTTGTGACAGGAGCAACTATGACACCCTCAAGCCCCCTTAGGCTTGCTGCCTGCAGCGGAAGCCCCTGAAAGTGGTCGGCATTCAATCTGCGCGTTCTGCCCCAAAAAGAGAAGCGACCTTGAACTGCTAGACTGTGCAAGGAAGGCCCAGGCCCTACTTGAGGGTCCCAGCCCCGGTGACTCCTGACGGGATTGTGCGCCCGGGCAGAACCTTCAGTGACGCAGGTGTCAAACGACACCCTGCGCAAGAAAACTTGCAGTTTTCGGGCGGCGAAAGGGCGCGCTGCGCTTGGGGATTGTTTTTTTTTGGCTGGAGCTCCCTTCAGCATTGACCCCCCTCACCAGCTTAAGCCCTCCGACTCACAATCCAGGGGGTCCCCTTTTGACACTTTTGCCGCAAAAGGCTCTCAACAATTCGTTGATGAAGCCCACCCAAGCTCTTCCCACTCCAAGGGCGTTATCTACAAGGCGAAGCGGCAAGGCTCACTTGCACGGATTCTACGCTGGGAGAAGAGGCGTTCAAAATTATACCCACCAACTAACATGCAAGTGCGCAAATCCCCGTTCTAAGAGGAGCTTCGTCTTTCTAGAGGGGTTTGTGCACTTCCGTGTTGGTCGGTGGGAGAGTATTTGTTGAGCACTGGGTTCTCTTGCCAGGATCCGGCTGTCCATGAACACGGCATCCGGATGCTCAGGTAAAGCCCATAAATAATTTACCAAGGTTGCGTTGTGCGTCATCTTGCCAAATGCTTTTTTTCCACGTCTGGCAGGGTTCCTGGCGGGCAGATTTCGGGTTGCTCGCCCGCCTCAAATTTCCTGGAGTCCATCACGCACCAACATCCCGCGCGCGTTTGCGCTGTGCTTCTTGTTATCCCTGCGGATACACAGGGAGTGTGCCAAAGGGAGCGGGAAGCTAAATCGAAACGGCCAATAACATATTCTTTTCAAGTGAGTTCGGGCTTTCCCCCACAACTCGTGCGGTTTTTCTTTTTATAATACTGAGGCCTGCCCCCAAGCATGTTTCTCGCATTCAATCCCAAAGCCGAAATGAACTATCTTGAGGCCCCCCCCCTCTGCAGTTGGTTGACGCCTCAGCTTATGGGCCATCCCTCGGCGAAAACCAAGGGCTCGGGTCAACACCTGGACCTGTTTGTCCCCCGGGGGCCCCTTGCATAGGACATTCGTCTTCCAGGCAAGCTCCCGCATGTGGAGGAGGTATATGGTTGAATGTTCTCTTTGTGGTGAAGACTAGTAGGCCGCCATTCTTTCAGAAGCCATGTGAACAAGTACGTATTTGTTCAATTGTACCCTCGCCTAACGGCAAGAGGCACATCTGACCATGCACTCCTTATGAGGTCACAGGTGAGGTTCCTTTGGTCCCCCCAGAGGCCAATCAACTTTCTGATTTTCACCCGGATGTAAGGACCCTTCCAGATCCATCAGCGGTCCCCCTGCCGGGTAACTGATCTATATAGCTTGAATCCAAAGTTCGAGTGGCCCTCAGGTTCTTGAAAAGGGGATGCCAACCTGGGGGCACCGGCTAAGAGTGGAAGCACAGGTTGTTGGAGTGCCCCATGTCTCAACACTTGGCTCGGCTTTCCGCAGGAGGAGCAGGGGAGAAAGATCCAAAGTCTCCGGCGATCCCTTGAGCCCTGAGCGATGGAACCTTGGCTTCCGGCGATTCTCCCAGTGATCCAAAAGGTGTGCTCGGAGGTGCGATCTGCGCTATGGCCGGGAACCTTGAAGGGCCTCCCAATCGGGGTACCGTGCCTCGTGTGAGTCCAAAGAATTTCCGGCGCTGCTGTTGCATGCAGAGTGGTGCCACAGGCAGCTCGCAGTTGCCTTATTGCAAGCAAAAGTTGGCACTTTGGGCCTTGCGAGCGCCTGATCGGGGGATTCCGAGTTTCTTGGTTTGGAACCTGTATAGTATATCCCGGATGTAGTGGAGCATAAACATGGGCTTTAGTGATTGCGTGCGGCCCTCGCCTTTGGGTTGCTGTTGCATTGCATCGGGTGTTGTATCGGTTGAATCTGCTTGTTGAATCTGCTTCTGCGGTACTCTTGATTTTGTTTGCAACCAAGCAAAGCGCTCCCAGTTTAGAGAAGCGCCCGTTTGGGTGTCTTTTGTTGAGGGTCGTTCTCTGTTCGGGGCTGTTTTACGATGGTGAAAGCAAGTGGATGCCCTTTCTTCACTGGACGTCCCTCGATGTGGACGTGTCTCAAAATCAGGTCACCCATGAATTGATCTTTTCCTCAGCGGTTTGCCTCAAAACAGACCAAACACGGTGTTCCCCAAAAAAGACAGACCATTTGGGTGGAGACTAGCCCATCTCTGGTTTTTGGGCTCGTTGCCCTCTGCTGTTGCGCAGGCTGGTTGCGCTCTTTGAGCGCAAGGCTCGCGGCTCGTGCGAAGGGCCTGGTACCATTGCGGGCCCATCTTGCAACTATGATGGCAGTAAATCGGTGTTGGAGTACCCCGCAACGACTGGGCGGCCTGTTTTGCGAAGCCCCGAATCTGTTTTGTGACCTCCATGTGCCATGTACCCCCAAAAAACTAAGTGTGGCAGAGGAATTTGCAAGTATCGCAGAAAATGCCGCCCTTGAATCCGCCTAGATTATGAGTCACTGCTTTGTTCTTTTCTGGGGGTCGAGAACATGTAGCAGACTTGTCTGTGTTTGGCACCGTTCGAGGAATCAGTGACTGACAAGGACAATGGAGGTGTTTAATTGTAGGGGGGTCAAATGCCCGGGTCGTTTCGTCTCCCGTCACTTGAAGATCTCTTTTGTTGGAGGACCCGTGGATTCGCAGCGTCATTCGGTGGGGATAGCCTGTTATTCCTTAAATCTTCCAGGTCTCGGAGGAGAAATTCAAATACACGCACACATACAGTATTTGGCCATGGTCTGCTAGTGTCCATGGTCTGCTAGTGTCGAATAAATGGCCAATCGCCGCACCTTCTTGTCGCAGAAGCGTTAAGGACAGTTCCAAAAAAAAAAAAAGGTCTAAGAAACATGTTGGTTTCCGTGTTGCCACAAGATCCTAAACAAATTCAGAATGTGGGTGAGGATTATTATGCAACAAAATTCCGTAATGATAGGACAATCAAGTGTGATTGCTTTGCTCTTCTCCTGCCGTTTGTTCTCCCTTCTGGGGGCCAGCAAAGGTTTGTCTAAGCGGAAGCTAGGGAGCCTTGCCGAGTTACAGGTTTGCCAAGTCCGAATGGAGGGAAAGGTGGAATTTGTCCGGTTCGACTGCGGCTGGTTGGCCGCTCCTTGGTATTTCCCTGAGGGTCCAAGGTGCTTGAAAACTTGGACTGTCTGGACCCTTGGAGCTTGCAAGATTTGCTCATCTGCGAAATGTTGAAGCTACAAACAAGCTACACACGGTCTAACATGCATCAAATTTTTGCTTTGGCATTTTTTTGTGAAGCTGGTCGTTTGACTTCTTCGTCAGCAACTGAGGGAATGACCCAACCATCCCTTGCGCGGAGTCCTGGCCAATCAAAGTTCATCATTCCCACCCCCCCTAGGTGCTTCCCCTGCCAAAAACAAGCTCAGAGACTTGGCGCCCAAGACGAACCTCTGCAGTTGGAGGGGTTTTTTGTCATTTTGAGACCTGGGTGTGGGTCAAAATGAAGCCACCAGGAAAAAAAAAGAGAAGAAAAACAACGCAGGTTGTAGTCCTTGTTTCCATTTACCAGGGCAACCCATTTTGGGGTTACCCTATTGTTGACCCACCCTCACCTGTGGAAGGTGCGGCTTGGGTTCCAGGTGCAGCTTCTGGAACCCGCCTCCGCCGCTCGGGCTCCGGCGGCCCCCGCCGCGGCTTCCGCGGCGTCTCACGCGGAGGCCGCGGAGGCCGGCGCCGCGGCCTCCGCGGCATCGGAGGCGCGGGGAATCAGCACCGCCAGTATCAGCACTAGTCGCGAGATTTGTGCGCATCTGGCTTTAGCTGGGTAGTTCGGTCATCAACCCTCGTTCAGAGTGACCATGTTGGCCTGTGGGGCAGTGCAGTGATGCGCGCGTCAGCTGAGCAGCTGAGCTGTTCGTTGACAAACTGACGGATACGTGTTTCTGGTTGCACATTTCTGGGGTAGACTTAGGATACATTTTGAATTTTACCAGCGACTCAAATTGAAGCAAACACTAGCATATACATTCTATAACTGGGCCTAACCCTAATCATGATTTATCGGAGTATTTTTTTGCGACATGGAACCCTGTAGGAATATCCCACATGATTTCTGCCATGAGAACGCAACTTGGTGACGCATGAATTTGCCGGGGCCTCATTGAACATTTGGTCGTTGCATCCCTGGCTTGCCTAGAGCCATCTCTGTTCAATGCCAAGTGTTTCCCAGTGTTAGTGTCCACAATCAATCTCAGAGCTCCCGTAGATGTATGGTACTTGCATGTTTTCGCCTCTAGGTTTTACATGCCGGCTTCCTCGGGTTACCTTCTGGGGCAAAGAGGTTCCCAAGCAGACATTGAGATCCCACTGCAAATGTATCGGTTTGTTTTTTGGTGGGCCCCATGCTAGCCTCGGGAGAAGCAACCCAATGACGCCGAGACCCTGCCTTGTTGTTTCCGGGTCCCGTCACTGAGACTCCCCTTTGTTTGTTGGGAGGGGCATTTGGGGACCCCCTCCACGAACTCTGGGGAAAATCCGTGTGGCAGGAGGCAGCACCGGAGGCCGCCTGGGGGGAGGTTTTCGGTTCGTTTCCTTTTGGGAGGGGGGATGGTTGGAGGGGTTTGCGCAACTTTGCACCAAACTAGTAACTTGAATCTCACTGAGCTAGCTATAATGACGCCTCACAGGGCCCTTCTCTTTCTTCGGAACTGGGTGCTCAGTGGCTCATGCGTGTCGATGCCTCAAAACCTGGACGTTAAGAGGATGCGTGCTGATTTTTTGGCCGGGCCCTCTGCTTCTTTCTGACCATGGTTCCATGCCATGGTGGCGGATCCACGCTATGGTGGCACGATGGTTGGAAGGAGGGTAGTTGGGAATGGCTGACTTTGCAACTTAGGTCACTAGCCACTGATTCGCCGAGCGCGTGTTGGCGGCGTCCATCAGCGGGAAGTGCAGAACCACCAGGGCTGAGAGGAAATCCTCTCAGATTTTTCAACAGGAATTTGGATCATTTCCCCAGTCCCGTAGTCCCAGACCTCCGGTGTGTGGTGCCCCTAGGTTTTATGTCTGGCAGCTTCCACCAAAGGACACAAGAGGTGGTTAAGGGGATGGCAGGAAAACCCAAATGGCTGTGGGTCAAAACCAATGGTACCATTTTATTTTAGGGTAGGTGCACCACCCATTTTAGTCTATTTTATTGGGGAGTGGGATGTTCACTGGGGATACGGGATTTTGACCCATGGCTAAATCTGGCTAGAAAAGAGGGCCAACCTTCCTTCGCACTGGAGGTGGTTTCGGGCTCGGCCAACTTGGCTGACAGGCGGAGGCTGCAGCTCCCCCGACCCCGGTGGAAGACGAGGCGAGAGGTGTCTTTGGTGTGGGTGGCCTGGCCGGGTCGGCAAATCGGAAAAGGATGCCCCGTGTGTTTTCTGTTCTTTTTCTTATCTATTTGTTTTACGGGGGGGATTTTCTGTATTACCAGTTCCTTCATTTCTTTTCTTTTTTTTTTTTTTTTTGGGGGGGGGGGCGGGGTACATTTTTGGTTCTAGCAATCGTTCTTTCCTAAACCCGCCCATTTGTCAATTTCCCCAGAGTTTTGGTGGACCCTGGGCAGACCTTGGAAACAATTGGAAGACACAACTAGACCTCCAAGATCGGGTTTATCCGTGAAGGAAACCCTTGCCTACCCTCACCTACCGATTTAACGCAATCAACTGACTGTTGGTTTTTTGGGTCTCGTCATATGTCTCTTCATGCTCGAAGTGTCTCTGTGCAGCCAACTGAGCACCAACAAGTTTTGCCACGCCTGCTTCAAACACTCATGCACGTTTCACAGTATGTTTGGGAGAGCCAGGTTTTTTCTAGGCTAAATACCTCCTTTTTAGTCGGGGCTGACATCATACCTTGCAACGTGGGCAGGCTTGAAAAAAACGTCGTTTTTGGCCTCGCGCGTCCCTTCTCCCAGTGCGAAGGCGGGGGTGGGTGGGTCGAATGTTCAATGGACCTTGTTGAGTTGAGGGGTTTGCCACCCCAGAACCTGAAAGCTTCCTGTGAATTTGCGTCCAAACAGGGGAACCACAGCATCGGGGAGTTTCTTAATTCCAAGAGGGTAAACAAGAGGAAGAGAGCGATTTCCTTTGGATCTCCCGTACTGGGCTGGAAGGCTGACGATCCTTTGGGGAAGCCCGCTGTCCCAGACCCATGATTGGAGGGTAGCCTCGACAAAGCGACCTGCCATCTTTGCGGCTTCCATATGGGTGTGGTCAAAATGAAACCAGCAGGGGACCGCGTCTTTGCCATCCACCCTCCCCCTCAGAAGTATGCGGTGTACCGGCGCATGCAACGGACCGGCGTGCCGGGGCCCTCAGCTTTCGGCTGGGCGCTTGCCTCTGCATTCGGTGCCCAACGTGGCCCAAATAAACTCGCGAGGCTGCGAGCCGTTCCCGAAAGCTGATCCAAAGCCAAGGGTGGAAGATTGGTTTGATTAGTTTAGTGTTAACCCCGGATGAATAAACCCCTGCTTGATTAATAGGGGGGAGTCCCCTTTTAGTGAGGATTCATCACTTTTGGAGGGAACACCCCCCTGATAATGGGACGGATGTATTAATCCTGGGTCAACATTACGTTGCTGTTTCCTTTGGTCTCCCTTCACCAGAAGCCGAACCCCCACCCTTGGGCTTTCTAGAGGGATGGTTTGGCCTGTAGTCTTGCAAAGTGCCAAGGCCATTGCTGGCCATCCGCCAGAAGCTCCTGCTAGACGCCCTTCAGGCCAGCCTCAATAAAGGTATCGCCTGCGGGCGTGCCATGCATTCATCATGTTGGTTCGGGCTGTGCAGGACCCCAGTCTGGACGTCGCCGTCTTGGATACCTTCGACGGCCTGCGCCCGAATCGCCTAATGATCGCCGCAGTCCATCAATCGGCCGCTGCGCTGTCCCCATGCCCAGCGACTAAGGCGCAGCAGGCACCGGCGCGGGGGCGCCAGCGCGGGCCAAGGCGGCCGCCAAGGCGGTTGCCAAGGCGCCCGAGGCGCCGACGCCGGCCCCGGCGCCTGAGGCTCCGACTTCAGCACCCGAGGCGCCGGCCCAGGCGCCTGAGCCTGCGGAGCCGGCGCCTGCCCCGCGCGAGCCGGAGCCAGCGGAGGCGGGGCGCTTGGTGCCCAGCGGCCACGCAACTTCTTCATGCCTGGCCAGGAAGCCCCGCCGCCGAGCATAGGCTGGGACCTTGGATTTCGGTGGCTTGTGTGAGTAGGGGGATGCCAGTGGACCAGCGAGCAGCCAGAGAAGCCAGGTGTTGAAGGCCCAGCAAGCTTGGCAGCAGCGGCCCAGGCCCCAAGGATGACAGGGGGTTGGGGTTCGGGGTGAGGCCGCGAGGCCTTGCTTGTTGCCCTTTTTTCTTTGCATCTATCTTTCCAAATGGGGCCGGCTTTCGTCTCAAAGTCAGGCTCCACCCCCTACGTTGATGAGAGGGCACCCCAAACTTCCCAGACCGCAGGCTTGGGCCACCGCCGCATGTTTGAAGCCATTTGTGTAAGCCGCTTAACATCAACCTTGGGGTCTTCCATTTTCAAGGCGCGCTTCAACCAGTTCTGCCCTCCCCCCCCGCCCGCGAAAACTTAGAGACACGCTCCAAGGCCGCCATGATGGCACAGCGGCGCATGAGCCGAGCCGCAGCAAAGGCCCAGCGGGGGCTTTCTGTTGGCTCAACACCCTTTTGGGCCAAGGTGGCCATGGGTCAAAACACAGTACCCCCATCCCAATCCCCACTAAAATAAACTAAATTGGGGTGGTGCACCTACCCCAAAATGGTACCATTGGTTTTGACCCACATCCAGGTGAGTTCCTCTTGTGATGTTGTAGGGGGAAATATGGGGAATTCTGCTTGTAGACTTTCGACTTTTGTTTGGACCTTGCCTGGCCAAACCACTCTGGCAGTGAAAAAGTGAGTGGCTGGATGCTGGAAAAAACTTTGGTTTTCCTTGTCCGTCCCACGGATCCAAGCCTCAGGATACCCCGCATAAAAAATCGGCGGAACACTGGGCCTTGCACTTCAGGGCGAGCAATCCATGCGCAATCCTAAAGGGCGCATGCAAACGAGCCCTTCGCAAAGGGACCCCACCAGAGAACAAAGGCGAGCAAGAACAAAGGACCCTCGCCACGGGCTATGGCAGGCGGAGGCGAAGGCGGAAGTCAAGGCCAAGGCCCCGGAGACGCCGGCTGAAGCCAAGGCGGACAGCTCCCAGGCGGGAGGCCTTTTGGGTTTCAAAGGGTATTGGTTCATTTTGACAGGACGGTGGTCATGGAAGTCGAAACCCGCTAAGGAGTGTGTAACAACTCACCTGCCGAATGGACTAGCCCTGAAAATGGATGGCGGTCACATTTCCAGCGAGGAATCCTCAAATGCTCCTGTTTGAGGAAACTCGTTTTCATCCAAGGGTGCAAATTGGTGGGTTGCAACCCCTCGTCATCAATTTGTTTGGGGGGCTGGTTGTTTCGTCAACTCGGCGACCACCGCCTAGGCCGCGTTTTTGGTGGTCTCTGAAGTGGGTTCATCTCTGCTGCCTGTTCCTCCCTTTGGCACTGCCAAGAAAGCTTCCAAATCATGACATTGACCGGTCCAAACCCACACAGGTAGCGGCAGCGGTGCAGGCAGTGCAGGCACCAGATCCGGGAGCCACCGCGCCAGCGAAGGCCGGGCATCGTGCTTGAAGTGGTTGATCCATGGTTGTTGTTGGGAAACATTTTGCATTTTTGCTTATAGTGGTTTAGTGGGAAATCCCCACTTAACTGCTTAAACTTAACTTTTTGCTCCCCTTCCAACGTCAACCAAGGATCTTCCAGGGATGGATTGTCTACCAGCCTATGTAGGGGGTTCTGGGACTTGTGGGAGTGGGCGATCGATCCCAAAGCCTGGCTGAGCTCCATTTCTTCTGCGACTGGCTGATCAATTTGTTCGAACGCTTAGGTCTTCATGAGTGAACTGGCTTTAGCTCTGGGTGTCCTTGAGATTTTCGCTTGCAAAGAAAGAAAGGAAAGCAAGGAGTTACTGCCATGCACCACGTGGAATAGCGTGCAAGTTGTTTTCATTTTCATGCGTTGCTTGGGCTTTTTCTTGAAACCTGATTTTGTACGAACGCGTCTGTGAATCCACGACCATTTGGCCCTCTCTGGGAGGCTTCCAATTTGAATGCTGACTTACCCAATTTCGCACCAGGATTGCAGCTTCCCGTGTGTTCGTGGGAGCATTCAATGCAAGTCTTCTCAGCATTTTGATTTGAATCCTTGAACCCCACTTCTATTTTTATTTCCCCCCTCGAAATATGGGAAACATGGGTGCCCCACCCTTCAGGAGGGGATATGATGGCAGCCCAGCCGGGGAGCTCTCCACACTCAAGGCAAACTAGAAGAACAGTCTGAAGGTGGGTGAAAGTTGATGTGGCAATCCCTTTGGTTGCATCATGCCTTGCTGTTTTTGTCCTTTTAAAACCACATAACAGGGGCACACTGAAAAAGGACAGCCCCATCCGTTTACAGTAACCAAGTCCGTATTGAATTCACTTCCCATGGCGCTTCAGTCTATGACTGGGCTGACACCAAAAGGATGGCTGGGCAAATATACATGTAGATAAATATATATATATATATATGAAAGATATATATATATATATATATACATATAAATATACATGTTTAAGCCACTGTTTGTTTAAACCACTCAGTTGTTGAAAACCACTGGTTGTGTAAAC